CTCAGTAGCACACTGACGGGACAGTGGAAGATCATCTGTGGAATGTTTCTACCATGTGTTCACATTAAATAGCAGCAATAGTGGTTCACAGACAGCAAGATCCTTAAAATAGCTTGTTTCCCAAAGTGAGTTAAACATTGATCTGAAGTCTTTTTTCAACCATAAATTACATCAGGGTCAACTCTGGCAGCAGAAGTCACAATTGTGATGGTGACAGTGTGTTCTTCACTGATTCTTATTTGATCAACTCGGATAAAAGTCTATTTGGCTTTTGTTTTCAAAATGTATACAAAAATAAATTTAGTTTTTAAAAAACCATTCACAACAGTGGCAAAATCTACATAGCTTATATAAATAGTTTAATAAAAGTTGTATATATGGGTTGGGGTTGTGGCTTAGCGCTAGAGTGATTGCCTAGCACATGTGAAGCCCTGGGTTCGAGTCTCAGCACCACATTAAAAAAAAAAAAGGCATTGTGTTCAACTACAAGTAAAAAAGAAAAAAAGGTTGTATATGTTTTATATGTGATCCTTATGGAAAAACTTTAATTGAAGGACATAGAAGAAGACCTTCATGGAGAGATGTACCATGTTTGTAGATGATAAGATTCATTATTATAAATGTATTGACCTTCCAGCCCATGAATTAACTGCAGTTCCAATAAAAATTTCAATGGGCTTTTTCATGGAATTGACAACCTGATTCTAATTCATTGTAAAGAACGAGGAATAATCAGACATTTTTAGACAATAAGGCAGAAGGAGGCCTTTCTCTGTGAGATATCAGGGCTTAATATGAAGCTATAGTTAAGTGAGATAGGATGTAGTCTTGCTTTGTCTAGTACCACTGGCCATATGTGACTATTGAACACTTGAAATGTGGTTAGTATGAATTGAGAAATTTTGTAGGAGTAAAAAAGTTGTAAAATATATCATTAATTTAAAAATAATTATTACATGCTGAAAATCTAATATTTTGGGTATATTAATATATGTAGTTTGGTATGGTGGTACTTGTCTGTAATCCTAGTTATTCAGGAGGCTGAGGCAGGAGGATCAAAAGTTTGAGGTCAGCCTCCACAGCTTAGACCCTGTCTGTGAATAAAATAAATAAATAAACAAAGGGGTGAGGGATATAGGTAAGTGGCAGAACACCCGTTTTTAATCTTCAGTATCAGAAAAAAAGATATAAAAGAGTGTTAAAATAAATTTTACCTATTTCTTTTAAAATGTGCCTACTAGAAAATTTTAAATTACACGTGTGCCAGGCATGATAGCCTCCTGCTGTAGTCTTAGCTACTTGGGAGGCTCAAATGGGAGGATAACTTGAGTCTCAGTGGGTTGGAGCCCAGGCTGGGTAACATAGTGAGACCCCCATCTCAAAAAAACAAAGCAAAATGAACAAGAAAATTACATATCTAATTATATGTGCTGTACATATAACTGTATTTATCATGTATTTCTATTGGGCAGTGCTGGCCTAGACTCGTAAAACCCAGAAACAGGCCATACACATATGGGAATTGAAGTGTGACAAAGATAGCAGTATCAACCAATGTGAAAGGAGAATGTTCAAAAAATGGTGGGACAATTGGTTTACCATATGGAAAATAAATTTAAATTCCTAATTTATAGCATGTGCAAAAATAAAATCCAGATGGATTGAAGACTGAAAGAAATATGAAAAAACTTTTTTAAGATTCTTATAAATTATAGGGAGTATATTTAAGGCTTTGAAGTTGGAAAGAATGTGGTTTCAGATAGCCTTTGCTGCATAACAAACCGACCAAAAGTTAGTAACTTAAAACTTCCCCAATTTCATTACTTCCACTCTTCTGTGGGGTGGCTAGGTGGCCCTTCTGGTGGTTTCACCTGGGGTTGCTGGTGTGGCTGCATCTGCTGGCGAGTTGGCTGTGCTATCTGGACCATGTGCCCCCCACACCCCACTCCCATGGTCTTTAATCCCATGGGCTTCCTTTGAGCATGCTGGGCTTGGTGTTCCAAGAGAACCAGAGTGAAATCTGCAAGGCCTCCCAAGTTTGATGCTCTGAAATCACATAGCATCACTTCTGTGTGTTGGCTGAAGCAGGTCATAGATTGAAAGCTGGCTCAGAATTCAAAAGGCAGGGAAATAGACTCCCCCTTCTATAGGGGGAACAGTGAATTCATTTTGCAAAGGGGTATGCCAGAGGATAGGCGCAGATTTCTTAAGATCCAAAAAGTACTGACCATAAAGGTGAAGATTAGCAAATCCATCTATATTAAAATAAACTATTCCTGAAAACAACAATTTGGAAGAATTAAAAGATAAGTCATAGCTGGAAGCAGTGGTTTGTGCCTGTAATTCCAGCTACACAGGAGGCTGAGACAGGAGGAAAAAAGTTTGAGGCCAACTTGGGCAACATAGCTAGACAGTACCCCCCCACACCACCCCTACACTTAAAAAAAAAAAATCAAGTCATAGGCTGGGAGAAGATATTCACAACATATTTACTATCTAGAGATATAAATAACTATGAATCTTAAGGGAAAAAAGGCCAACAACCCATTACAAAAGTGGGCAAAAGACATAAAGCAATTTATAGAACATGAAGAATGATGTTTGACTTCACTTAATTGTCAATTTTCATTTTTCTAACTTCATTAGAGAAAAATGGTGCATTCTAGTTTATACTTACAGACTATCTTAGTCCCTTCAGGCTGCTGCAACAAAAACCCCCACAACTTGGGCATCTTATAAACAACAGAAATTTATTTGTCACAGTTCTGGAGGCTAGGAAGTACAAGATCATCCAGGCTCAGTGGATTCAGTGTCTGGTGAGGGCTGAGTGCTTCCTCGTTCCTAGATGGCTGTCTTTTCACAGGGCAGAAGGAGCCAAGGAGCGCTCAGGCCTCTTTTATAAGAGTACAGATCCCATTCATGAGGGCTCTGCTCTTGTGACCTAATCACACTCAAGGATTCTATTTTCAAATACCATCACCCAGAGTTTAGGATACACTGGGGGAACCTAGACCTTCAGACCATCGCACAAACTGACAAATAATCTGATGAACGGCTGGGGATGTAACTCAGTGGTAGAGCATTTGCCTAACATGGGTAAGGCCCTGGGCTGTATCCCCAACAATGCCAAGAAATAACAACAACAACAAAAAATCTGATGATACAAGGAATGTTGGTCAGCGTATGACCTGATAAAGGGAATGGGGGTAGAAAGTGGTCCTGTGTTGTCAGCATCTGCCACAATTGCAGGTGACTGCACCTTTTAGTGCTTCTCCTAGGGGCATGCTTCAGTGTGTGGAACACATACAAGGCTATAAGGGTGTTCTTGCGCCATTGATTATAATACTGAAAGGTGGAAGCAACTTAAATATGGGATGTTAGATAAACTGTGATACATTCACTTACAAGAATTCTATATAGGAGCTGGAGTATGTAGCTCAGTGGTAGAACACCTGGAGTGTATAAGACCTCAAGTTCAATCCCCATCACTGCAAACAAAACACAATTAAAAAAGGAATACTGTATAGCAAAAATCAGTGAATGAATATAAGCTGTGACTCAGCATGGAGAGAACTTGAAAACATAATGTTGAGTGAAAAGGGTATGTTCCAGAATTGTAATAGCATGATGTCATTTTTAAATTTTATTTTTATTAGTGCTTTGTAGCTATATATATGATAGTGGAGTTCATTTGTTTATATTTACTTTTTAGTTATAGTTGAACACAATTTTACCTTTATTTTATTTATTATTTTTATTTGGTGCTGAGGATCGAACCCAGGGCCTTGCACGTGCTAAGCACACGCTCTACCGCTGAGCCACAACCCCAGCCCCACTGGGATTCATTTTGACATAATTGCACACATGCATGGAATTTAATTTGCCTCGTTTCAGTCTCCAGTGCCTTCTCTTTCCCTCCTATACTCTGTCTTCCACCATTCTTTCTATTTTTGAAACCCACCATACTTTTACTGTTTTTCAATATGTACATATTAAAGGCATATAGACGTGGGCAAGAAAAACTGTACATCAACTTAAAGATAATAGTTACTTTTGAAAGAGGAGGAGAAAATGAGATGGGGGATAGCTAAAGAGGAATCCCAGTTTACTCTGGTATATTTTATTTCTTAAAAGGCAAATATGGCCACCAGTCATGGTGGTGCACACCTGTAATCCCAATGGCTCAGGAGGCTGAGGCAGGAGGATCGCAAGTTCAAAGCCAGCCTCAGCAAAAGTGGTGATAAGCAACTCAGTGAGACCCTGTCTCTAAATAAAATACAAAACAGGGCTGAGAATGTGGCTCAGTGGTTGAGTGCCCGTGAGTTCAATCCCCAGTATGCTCCCAACCCCCAAAAGCAAATATGGCAAAATGTTATGATACAGTAATTCTGTGTAGTGGATTTGTGTTATTACCTAATACTTTTTGGTGTGCTTTAAATATTTCATCAAAAGTACATGAGCCTTGTGGTAGCTCATGCTAGTAGTCCCAGTTACTTGGAGGCTGAGGCGGAAAGATCACTTGGCTCAGGAGTTCAAAACACCCTGGGCAACATAGCAAGGTCCCCCCCCCCCCACCCAAAGTAAGTCCATGGGTATCTTTAAAATCATAGTTACAGTCAAGTAGGATGTCCAGAAAATAGACATTTATGCTTTGCTGCAAGTTGGAGTTTAATAAGAGCCATTGAACACAGTTTCCACATTTAAACACTAAATAGGTCATCAGGGAATTGGTGGATTACATTTGATAATTCTGATGGAGTGTTAAAGTGTGGAGCAGAATTTAAGAATAAATAAATAAAATACCTGTGTGGAACAGAATAGTATGTCAAGGATGAAGGGCTGGGGGTATAGCTCAGTGTAGAGGGTTTGCCAGCGTGTTGGAGGCCCTGGGTTCCATCCCCAGCACCACTTAAAAAAAAAAAATAACTAGATGAAGACTTCTATGTGGTATATATAAATCTGAAGGTGGTCATTTGCTGCTGCTTCTTCTCTTGTCCCAGGAAACTCACTTTGACCTTTCTGAAGTCCATATGGCTCTATATGATGAAGATCTCCTGAAGAATCCTTTCTATCTGGCTCTTCAGAAGTGGCGCCCTGACTTGTGCAGTAAGGTGGCCCAAATCCACGGCATAGTAAGTGCATTGATCCTGAAGGTTGTCCCTGGGCATTGGTGATGCCGTGGATGTGGCGGCCGGAGGGGAAGTGTAGTGGGAGTCTGTTACAGACGTGCTGGGTTTACTTCACCTCCACATCCTGCCCAGTGTGAGAATGAGCCCCAGGGGCTGCCATGAACTGCTCCCTCGAAGAAGCCTCCTGCAGCTGCAGCCCAGTGATCCCTTCTCCCAGGGCTCCTCTCCCACCTGTGATGAATTGTGCCCTTTCATGGAATGCCCAAGACAGTGCTGCAATCATAGGTGCTCACCTCTCTCTCTTATTTACCTGTGGGCTTCTCAAGGACAGAGTCAGATTCCTCCTCAGGACCTCATCAGTTAGGAGGTAGGTGCTCACTCCCATGAGAGGACGAAATCTGTGAGCTCTTATTAATCTGAAAGGCATTTCCTAAAGGGGAAGATCTTCCATAACAGGCCACAACCTCAAAAGCCCACAGGGCCAGTGAGGAAGGAGAAGCATGGAGGAGAAACGTAGGCTGTGGTGTGGACATCTGCTGCCAGGAGGGCAGGCAGGCCCTGGGTTGCAGGTCTTCCTGGTCCTTGGGCCCCCAGACCATCTTTAGACAGCATTTCAGGATGCAGCATGCTGAATGCGTTTGTTGTGTGCCCTCTGCTTGAGACGTCTTTGGTCTTCTTTTCATGTGTCGTCTCATACCTGTGCTTCCACTTATCCCCTGGTGGGACTCAACTCAGGCACGTTAGGCATCTGAGGATTCGAACCAAAGGGGAAGTAAGATTAACTCAGGTTGGCCTCAGGTTCTTGGCTTCCTTTCTGCAAAATCGGAACTATCTTTCTCCTGACCTCTGTCCTCAGAAGTGTGGTTTCTCAGGTCCCTTCCAGTTTTTATGATTCATTTTGTGATTCATATTTTCACCAGAACTTTTTTTACTTTGGATTTTGGAAGTCATAGTTTGTTATTAAAAAAAAAAAATAGTGAATACAGCTATTTCCAAAGAAGGAAATTAAAATATCAGTGAATTTCATCATAGACATTCATTGTCATCTGTTCATCTCACAGTGGTTATTAAATGCTGCCACATGCCAGGCAGTACATTTGATGCTGGGAATTCATCGAAAATAGGAACGCTCGTCACTGTCTTTTTTTTTTTTTTTGTACCAGGGATTGAACCCAGGGTGCTTAACCACTGAGCCACATCCCCAGCCCTTTGTTATATTTTATTTAAAGACAGGGTCTTTTTTAAAAATATTTTTTTAGTTATACATGGGCACAATATCTTTATTTTGTTTACTTATTTATTTTTTTATGTGGTGCTGAGGATTGAACCCAGGGTTTCACACTTAAGAGGTGAGGGCTCTACCACTGAGCCACAACCCCAGCCCCAAGACAGGGTCTTAATTAGTTGCTCAGGGCCTTGCTAAGTTGCTGAGGCTGGCGTTGAACTCAAGATCCTCCTTTCTTAGCCTTTCAAGCTGCTGGGATTACAGGCACATGCCACTGCACCCAGTCCCCATGACCATCTTTACCCTCATGGAGCTTAAATTCTAGCAAGAGAGACAGTCACACCCTGGGCAAATATATACTCATTACTGCAGGGGGACTTGACGCAGAGGAAGGGGGCCGGATGCCAAGTGGCCATGTCTCAGGGAGGACCTGACTTAATACCGGGAATAATTTCTCCCTTCTTGTCTCTGTTTAATGCTCTTCTTTTAAGCACCTTCGAGGGTTTTATCATATATAACTTTGTTTTGCTTTTTATAAATGTCACTGTGGTATTCCTTGATTTTTCAGTAAATTCTTTGTAAGTTGTCTTGCTGACTGAAGCCTGAAAGTGTTCCAGCATTTATCAGTTCCTTTCACCTCATAGGTGCTTTTTCAGCTGCAAGTAGTGGAATCCTACTCAAGTTCACTTCAACAGGGAGATTCAGAAGGGAAATTTTATTTTTTATTTGTTTTGATGTAGTACTGGGGATAGAACACTTTACCAACAAACTATACCCTCAGCCTTTAAAATTTTTTTGAGACAGGGTCTCACTAAGTTGCTCAGGCTGGCCTCAGACTCAAACTAGCCATCCTCCTGCCTCAGCCTCCCAAGTTGCTGGGATTATGGATGTGTGCCACCTATCAGAAGGGAAATTTTGAATAAGAACTTTGCCCTTTTGATATCTTCTTTTCAGGTACACAAATGAATGGAAGATTCTCCTTTAACTTGCTATCTCATGTTCTTACCAGTCTCCTGGGCCCCTTACTCCAGCCCCTCCCAAGACCCATAGGATCCCCTAACTACTTGTGGTGTGTATTGAGTGACACTGAATTTCTGACCTTTGGGAGTCAGTGAGGCCGGCCTCCCAGCCCAAGTCAGCAGTGGGAAGGAGCTGCTCTCCTGGCATGCTCAAAGAGGTCAGATGGCAGTGGCTCTCTCCTGCCCCCTGTTGTCCATGTGATGGGGCCACCAGCACATCCCTGTCCAGTCTGTAGTTGTGCTTGAGTCCATCTCATTCATCATTGGTTGAATGACCAAGTAGAATATTCTGATGGCTTCTGAAAGGGCACTCATTCTTTCTGTCACTTCTGAGAGATCAATGTGGCCTTGGCAGGTGAATGCTGAATTTCTTTCCATGGAGCTTGGCCATGGGACCAAGTATGACTGCCCTGGAATCTTGCCTTGTGATCAGTTTTTATTGGGCTCTGAAAAAATTTGAGCCCATTTTTCAAAAAATGTGTGTCTGCAGGATTAATAGCCCCTGCTCGTTCCTCTATAGGGACCTGGTGGGCCACCTCATGCTTTGCTGATCTGCACCAGCTTGTGTGTGCGGCTGAGTGTGCAGCCTGACTGCTGTCCCACCCTGCTCCAGCTGCTGCTCCAGTTAGCTTCATTCTAGACCCCCTTTCATGACAATGGCATCTCCTTCCCATTGTCACCTGCTCTCTGATTGCACAGTAGAAGTTCCTTCTCCAGTGCTCTTCCAGATTCCACTCACAGGAGCCTGTGACACCCTACACTCTTCAAATGGACGCCCCATGCCTTTAACCATCTGGCTGATTATGCACTTGTGGCTTCCTCAGAGTGTGTTGGGCAGGCCTGCATCCCTGGGGCTCTTGTCCATGAGCTGCTGAGGTAAGATCCTTCAGATTCTCCAGGTGCGCTAGAGGGTGGATCCATGTACTCTTAGGAAAAATAAAAATTACAAAAGGAGATTTAAGTTTGATCTTTTATTGATGTCCTTTAATTATAGGTTAAATAGGCTTTGGGGATTAGCCTGGGAACATAACAAAATGGTATCCAGCTTCCCAGGAACTGATTTTCAAGCTGAATACTTCTGCAGCCCAGCTATGGACACTGAGGTTCTCATTCTAGTTCTTAGGATTCATTTAGTGTAGATTCAACCAGCAAAAGTTTACTGAGCATCAGTAATGTGCCAGGCACTGAGCTAGGTTTCCTGGGTTACGTGGATGAATGGGAATTACAGGAGGCATTCAGGGAGTTCTAGAAACAGGCCATTTGATGGTTAGAAGAATGAGTGTAGGATAGTCATCGTCACAGGCTCCAGTGGAGTGTTTAATCCAGTTTGGGGAACCAGGAGGGTACCCTGGAGTAGGTATCACTATTGCAGATTCTTGCTTTTTATTCTTTTTTCTCTTCTTTAATTACTGTTATTTTTAAAAGTCTTTATAAAGGGAACTACAAAAAAGTTGTTAAACTTTGAAATGAGTAGGTTCTAGCTAGCGGTCTACACATGGACCTTACACTCCACAGGCTGCTTAGACTCCTGCCTTCTATTCTAGGACTGCTCTGCAGCACCTTCTGAGTGGAGGACCCCGCCTACCTAGGTGTCTTCATAGCTGTTTTGCCACCTATTTCAGGGTGGGCTTCCTCATCCCAGTCTCAGAAGGACTCTGATGGAGGTGGATTGGCCACAGAGAGCCCACGTTTTGGCTTCTGCTTATAGTGAAATGCTCTGGGCAGCAGGGGCCTCTCTCCCTTGGAATGGGAGGAATTGGAACTCTTTTCCCTGTCAGGAAATTTTGGGTGAGGGGTCCTGTGAAATCGGGAGGCCCCTGTTCACTGAACAAACATGGACTGCACATTGAGTAGCAGGCTGGGCAATGGGACTCAGCACAGCAGGAGCCAACATGCTTCCTTCAAGTTGGGGAGGAGGAGCTGCGTGTAAACAAGAGAACAGGGTGGTTGGGAAGAGTTCTCCGAGCACATCAGGAGTGCCCAGTTCTGCAAAGGCAGATGAAGGCCCTTCCTTATCTAGGATGGTGTGGGTCTTTCATTCAGGCAGCTGGTGTGGGGCCATTTGTTCAGGCTTTACATGCCTCCAGGACTGGCCCCTCGTGTCCCTGTGAGACTTACTCTTCTGTCTTCAGGTTCTTGGCTCTTTTGTGCAGCCATGAGGCCCCTGGGAGCCTTTTTTTTTTTTTTAGAGAGAGAATTTTAATATTTATTTATTTTAGTTCTCGGCGGACACAACATCTTTGTTTGTATGTGGTGCTGAGGATCGAACCCGGGCCGCACGCATGCCAGGCGAGCGCGCTACCGCCTGAGCCACATCCCCAGCCCATGGGAGCCTTGTTTCTTGTTTCTAAGTTGATACTTGAGGGCCTTCCTCTATTTAATTTTTAATTAAAATTCCAGATTATTATGTTTAATTTCAAACATAAAAGTAGGAAGGATAACATAATGAGCCCCACGTGTCCTTCACTCAGTTTTAACAAATGGGAATTTAGTGGCCGGTCACATTCCATCTCTTTCTGAACCCTGGATTATTTTGAAGCAAATCCCAGACTTTTATTTAAGGCTGACATATGATTTCCAACTATAAATATTTTTAGGAACATATTTTTAAGTAAGCATGACTTTTTTAAAAAAAATATAGCCCTAATGCCATTATCATAGCTCAAACAATCCTCCATAATTCTTCAGTATTATCAAATAGTCACTTCAATTTCCCCCAATTTTTTCCTATCTTTTATTTTATGGTTGGTTTGTTCAAATCATAATCCAAAGGAGAGCTGCACATTATATAGACTGATTGGTCTTTTAAGTTTGTTTGTCCTAATTTTTCTTGTGTTGAACTATGTATGCTCATGGTGTAAAATTCGACGCATTTTGACATGTGTATAGGCTTGTGAAACTACAGTCTTCAGCATTTTAGAATTATAGCTTCCCCTCTCCTCCTTTTCCTTTCTTTCTTTGCCATTCATTTGCAGAAGAAAACAGGTCATGTTGATTCCGTACTTTCCTGCCTTCTGCCTTTTGCCAGTTGTGGTCTGTAGTGGTGTTTAACGTGGCTCTGTTTCTGAGGTTGGTAGTTAAATGCACATCTGGATCTTAGTCTTGAATTTTTGAGTTTATAAGGTCTCCTCACATACAGGATTTCCTTCTCCCATCAGCAAGTGCTTCCCTTTTCTGCTGTGAGGAATTGTCCTGTTCCTCTGAGGGGAGATGGCCATGCTGCTCATTCTCACCAACTGAAGAAGCCCATGATGATGGAGTTTCATGGGCACTGAGCTGTGCTTCCAGCACAGGCTTCCAGGAGGCAGTGGGATGGGGCCTCCAGGGAGGTGGCTGGAGTCTGTAGCATGGCTATGCCACTCACTGGCTGTGACCTTGAACAAGTTACTTAACTTTCCTAAGCCACAATTTCCTTATCTGTAAAGTGGGGATAATGCTGAAACTACCCTACCTAGGCAGTTATTAAGTGATAGCTCTCTGAACCACTCAGCACAGTGCCTGACACATAGCATTGCTCAAGAAATGGGAGCCCCAGCTCAGATTACACAAGTCTACCTAAGATGACGTTGCTAAAAAAGAAACCTCTGTTCTTACAGAGAATGCAAGACTGTGGCACACGGTTCACAGATGGTAAAGCTTGCTTGTAGGTATTTGGATATCCTTTATATTATGTTTCCACTCTTGAATGTTTTGGTGGCCGGGTTCTCACATACTAAGTGTACTGATCAGGATCTGGAGTTCCAGAATTGTTGTTTCTGATAGCTTTTTTTCTAAGCTTAATGATTGTTTTGGTGGAGGGCCCATCCTCTGGAGTTTCCTACTCTATGTTTCTGTGACATCCCCTGAAATTTAACCCATTTGAATCATCAAGTTTTAGTTTTGGAGGGACCAGGAGGTGTTTATATCTCTGCCTCAGGCTGGAATCAGCTCCTTAATTGGCAGCCATCTCATGTTGGAGTGAACTCAGGACTGATTGCTGGTGGCTTCCTCGATAGCCCCTCAGCTCTCTGGGGACCACAAGTTAAACCCAAGGACTTGTGTCCTGCTCTAAGAGCTGAGTAAGATAAGGAAAGGACACCTCTGATTCTGGAGGAGCAGTGGCCCTCCAAGGTCGGGTTATGTGCCAGCCCTGGGCTGAGTGTGTCCTGTGGGCCTGCACAACTCTCTCAGCACGCCTGTGTGCTGGGCACTTTTGTTGGAAGGAACCAAGGAACAAGGACCAGTCTTGTGTTCAGGGCCATGGCTGGGAAGCATATGACCAGGTATGGTGCCTAGCCCACTGGACTGTCATAGGAGTTTGGTGGCTCTGTAGGGCTTCTCTGCTTTGGTCATCTTCCTTTTAGGTACACTTGAGTCTGAAATTCCTATTCAAAAGTGAGTCAGCCAAGCACAGATCTGCATGTGGTTGTGCAGGGAACAGAGCTGGGGGACTCATCCAGGAGGGGAATGAAGCCCACCAGCCTCTGCGTCTGGATTTGGAAAAGGACTGGTGTTGTCCTTAGCCTGCCTCTTCCTGGGTGGGGAGCATCTGCTTCCATCATCTCCACAACAAATGAACTCAGCTTGGTGCAACTGCAGCCACTTTGGCAAGCGAGGCCGTTGTCTCTGTCAGTGGATTCCTGTAATGGTTCCAGCTGTGCTGCAGAAGCTGTAAATGGCATCTCTCTCTAGTGTTTATTGTCATTATTTTTTTTCAGGTCTTAGTGCCCTGTAAAGGAAGCCTATCAAGCAGTGTTCAGTCCTCTTGTCAGTTTGAATCCTACATTTTGATACCAGTGGAAGGACATTTTCAGACCTTAAATGGAAAGGTACTCATTTCTTGGGTTGTTGACTCAGTATTTGGGGCTGGGGGAGGGAAGGGAATCCTGCTGAGGCCTTTCACATCTGTTGTGGTAAGCAACATCTTTGAGACACACAGCAGCCTTTGGGTTGGGTGGGAGGACCGCACCTTTGTGGTAGAGCCTTGGAGGAAAGAGGCGTGGTGAGGGGACACTCCCTGGGAGGGTCCGGAGGAGCCAGGTGGCTTCGTCTGCCTGTTCCTGGGAGTCTCTGAGCCCCTTCTGAGCAAGGTCTATGTCCAAGTGAGCTTTCTTCCCAGGACCCTTGAAAGGCCCTTGGTTCCTTGGCTATAAAATTGGACATAGGGGATGAATATTTTATTTTTAAAAAACTCTGTTTTGAAATAAATTCAACCCCACCGAAATTTGAGCTGAGTACATAGAACCCTCGCACACCCTCCCCGGGTGGCCGGCTGTTCCCATCTATGCCACACTTGTTTTAGCCGTCTTGCCCAATACTCCTGTTAGTACTGTTTTTTTCAACCTTGCGGGAGGATGTTGTAGACACTGCGCCCTTTTCTCCAAGGTAGTGCAGGGTGTATTTCTGACAACAGCCGTACTCTTACTTGACTTCCATGCAGGGATCACATTTGGAAACTCACCCTTGATAGAATGTTCTGCAGTTCACGGTCCTTACACACTGGGCTCATTATAATGCCCTTTTACACACAGAAAAACAGTTTTCTTTTTAAGACCCAGGATCAAACGCTGTGTTTGGTTATTAGCCTTTCTAGTTTCTTTTCATCTGGAGAAGCCCCTCAGCATTTCTGTGTCTTTCATGACATTTTTTTTTTTTCCAGAATCCCTCAGTATGGGCTTATCTGGTGTTTCCTCACGATTAGATCACAGTTGGGCATTTTGGGTAGGAATGGGGAATTTTCTTTCTTTCTTTCTTTCTTTCATATCCTGTCAAGTGGCCCGTGGTCTTTTTGGTCTATCCTGATGGCAGTGTGGGTGGGTGTTTTTCTTTTTTTCCAGTGGAGGCAGGTAGGTGCTGAGAGGGGGAGTTTTGTTTGCAGCCAAGTCTGGCTCGTTCAGGGGAGCCAGGCCCCGTGACCCCCTCCCACTGGGGTCAGGCTGTGGTTGGTCCCTGGGACTTGGCAGCCCAGGCATGTAGACTGGTGGGGAGAGGAGGTTGGGGTTATTGGCAGGCCTGCTCGGGGTCAGCAGCCCTGTGGCTCTAAGAGGCATGATGCTGTCTTCTTGCCAGTGAGCTGCTCACCCTGCTGCCACTCACTGGTTAGTGTACGTGCCTGAGCAAGACACTGCAGTGGGGTGGCCGCGTCTGGGTCAGCGCTGTATTGTGGGGTTGGCTGAGAGGGGGTCAGCTGCCAGCAGTGATGGTTTTCTTGTTCCAGGATGTCTTTATACAAGGAAACAGGATTAAATTAGGAGCTGGTTTTGCCTGTCTTCTCTCAGTGCCCATTCTCTTTGAAGAAACTTTCTACAATGAAAAAGAAGAAAGTTTCAGCATCCTGTGTATAGCCCATCCTTTGGAAAAGAGAGAGAGTTCAGGTATTCTGGGAGAAAGCCCTTTCCTCCTGGCTTGATGAAATGGGGCTGTTGAACTTCTTCACGGTATAGCTGCTAAAAGGTTGAATGCCGTAGAAAATATTCAAGTTCTTAGTAGAAACCTACTATTTATAAAATTCCCCTTAGAACTTAATCGACGTCCTCCCTGGCTAAGGAGGTGCTGCTGAATCTGGTTGACCAGGTTGGGTATTATACAGTTCCAGAAAGTGCCATTCACATGAACCTCACTGTACTTGTGACAAACCTGGGTTGTGAATGTCGCCCCAGAGCCATACCCCTGGCCTTGTTTCTGAGAGTCAGCTTTAGGATTTGCTCTTATAACATTACTACCCACCAGCCTCCCCATTGTGCCTCTTTGAGATTTTCATTATTTTTAACTTTGTCTATTTATTTATCATCATTATTTTTTACGTGTGCTGAGGATCAAACCCAGTGCTTCACACATGCCACCGAGCCACAACCCCAGCCCAAGACCTCATTAGTTTTAAAGAATGGTTATTATTTTAGTTGCTCCAGAAGGTTGAGATGACAATTTTTGTGTTAAGTGTGCTCTGAAGCTCTTACTGTCAGGAATCAGGTTTCTTTTCCTAGCCCCCATGGATCATGCCCATGGCCTCAGGGAGTGCAGACATTGTCCCAGGAAAAGGTTTTGAGAGGACCATGCTCTCTGGACCTCAGGGTGTCCTGTAACTGGGCTGTTCTTGGACAGCATCTTGAAATAAGGATATTCCTGCCTTTGCCTCCAGGCCCTGTGGGAGCAGGACAAAGGATGTGGTACTTCCCCCATCAGGAAACAGTGAAGACCTCGGACAACCTGACCTTCTTTCTCTTTTTCAGAAGAGCCTTCAGCACCCTCAGATTCTTTTACCCTGAAAACTATTGAAGACGTGAGAGAATTTTTGGGAAGACACTCTGAGAGATTTGACAGGAACATCGCCTCTTTCCACCGAACATTCCGAGAATGTGAAAGAAAGAGCCTCCGTCACCACATAGTTAGTAGCTTTGTCGGGCTTTGCCTGGTAGGCCCTGTCTCAGGCCAGTTCAGAGCCTCAGGATCCCTCTCAGTTTACTCTGAAACGTCTCTGGGTGCTGCCTTCACTGTTGGAAGTTTTGTTTAAAAGTTTCTCCTGAACTATAAAAGCAGCATAAGTCACCTTAGAACACTTGAAAATCTTGGAGAAGTCTAAAAATGAGTATTGTTATCATCCATGGTAACTCTAAAGGGAATTGTTTTCTACTTTTAATACATATGTACCTAAAAAAAATGGGAAAGAAAATCAATCATGTAGTTATTCTGAACATCGTATATTACCCAGGAAGTGCATTTTGGGAAGGTTTTCTCCATGCCAGGAAAACCTTCACTCATTCAGGTTTATGTGTCACGGCCTCTGATTGTAAGGGGGCCGCCTCTCTCTGCTCTGTGTTGCACAGGACTCGGTGAATGCGCTCTACACAAAATGCCTCCAGCAACTTCTGAGGGACTCTCACCTGGTAAGCCGCAGGACTTCCAGAAGGAAGCATTGCAGTTGGCACCATGCAAATCCAAGCTCTTTAACTGTACTTCTCTCATCTTCTAGAAAGTGCTTGCGAAGCAGGAGGCCCACATGAACCTGATGAAGCAGGCAGTAGAGGTGAGCAGAGAGGGTAGCGGTGGCTGGGGGCTCTACTGTGGCCCAGCACACACACTGAACTGGGCCTGTTGATTTCACAGATGTACATCCATCATGATATTTATGATCTGATCTTTAAGTATGTGGGGACCATGGAGGCGAGCGAGGTAGGTTTACAGTCATTTTCACCATTTGGGATGGAAGCCTTATTCTATGCTTTTTAAGAAATTTTAAGCTTCGTTAAAATCTGTTGTTAGGATGCTGCCTTTAACAAAATCACAAGAAGCCTTCAAGATCTCCAGCAGAAAGATATTGGTGTGAAACCTGAATTCAGGTAAGGGCCTGCACTCAGCTTGGCCACCTCGGAGGCTGCACTGACTTCTCCTAAAGCAGGACCTCTTGGTGGCAATGGTGGCAGGTGGATTTGACATGGTTGCTACCAAAAGCAGAGTAGTTATTTGTGACCAAAGATAAAGGGCTGAAGTTGACTGATGACTTCAGCAGAACCTTCCTGCACCTGCAGGCCAGCATGCTTCAGCAGGACAGACCCTGGGGGTGTGTTTCCTGTCCATGGTCTGCAAGCAGGCACATCACTCTCCCGAGTGGGCTCTGCATGCAGAATGTCTCTCCTCGCCTGCCTATCTGAAATGTCTAGTGTTGATATAGAAACTCCAGCCCCCTTTGGGCTGATTCCCTCTAGGGCTATAAATTTTTATTTCAAAATTTCTGGTGGCAGTCTTATCACCTGGCAGTCTGAATGGGGCTTAAAGCCATTCTGTTCTGCCACTGACTTGAGTCACATTGCTCTTCAGTCTCTATTTTTATTTCTCATTACTTGTGGTTTGTTGTAAGGAATGTGTAGCCTGAGATATGTTATTAGAGCAAGGAAGAAGGCCTCCCACTGTGGTCTGAAGTTATCGTGCTCTGAATGATTTTACAGCTTCAATATCCCTCGTGCAAAGAGAGAGCTGGCTCAGCTGAACAGATGCACCTCCCCACAACAGAAGCTGGTCTGTTTGCGAAAGGTGGTGCAGCTCATTACACAGTCTCCTAGCCAGAGAGGTTTGTGCCTGGGGAAGGGTCTGGCAAAGGGTGGGAGCAGGCACCCAGGTGAAGAAGTTGGCCGAGGGATATGGGGCTGAGGGCCAGTAGAGCATTCCAGTGCCCCTGCCCTGGGGAGAGCTCTGCTGGGCATGATGAGGGTAAGAAAATAGGGACAGGGAAGCAGTGGCCTCCAAGCTGGTGATGGGTGCGTGGGGAATTAGACTGTTGGGGTGTTCTCCTTCATTTTGTATATGTTTTAAATTTTCTAGTATAAAAAGTAAAACAGGGTCTGGGGATGTTAGCTCAGTGGTAGAGCACTTGCCTAGCATGCTCAAGGTCCTGGGTTCAATCTCCAGGACTGCAGAAAAGAAAAAAAAAAAAAAAGTAAAACAAAAGAATCTAAGAAAAAAATTCACGGACGCATATGTATAGGTAAGAGATGATCTCCACGGTTTCTTGAGGGAAATAAATAGGAATGTGTATGGAACACTTCAACAGCATCAAGGAAAGGGGTCGCTCTATATCCACATGTGTAATGGTGAGTTCCTAGTCTGTCTGTGTTCCTAGGAAAGATATGCAGGAAGCAGCAGCAGGAGACCGGGACACTGGGTGGAGGGCTGGGAGGATACTCAAGCTTGTTCATTTGTACTATTTGAATATTTATCTATCTACTTATTTATTACTGAGGATAAAACCCAGAGCCTAACTCATGCTAGGCAAGTACCCCACCACTGAGCTACAACCTTCATACTGGTTGAATTTTAAAACATATGAATGGATCACTTAAATTTTCAAAATGCAAAAAATAAAGTGAAATTAACTATGGGCATTAGACCCCATGTGTATAAAATGGAAGTGGCCTCAGGCTTTTGTTGATGACTCTAGCGTGTCTTCCTTTTGTGTCCACTGTCACTGCTTCCCTGGGCTCTTCCTTCCTTGCTCATCCGGGAAGGTGGCAAGTCCTGGTTGGCTTGGAGTCACTTTCTTTTGCATGTTTTCTGAAAATGTCGTGAATTCTTTTATCTGCTTGAATCAGATATCTCTTCAGCAAACTGTAAAGGAAATTGTGCCCTTTCTCCCCAGTGTACAATCTTACTCAAGTGTGGTTTTGTGGGTTAGCTGGTGGTAGGGAGATTGTACACTTGTCCTTCCATTTGAGTCTCCTGATGACTTTGAACATGTTTTCCCCTTGCAGTGAACTTGGAGACTATGTGTGCTGATGATCTTCTCTCAGTCCTATTGTATTTGCTTGTGAAAACAGAGATCCCCAATTGGTAACATTTTTTTTGTTGTTGTTAAAAATACTTTCTGAAAATGGCAGCATAGTGGTACCATGTACTTTCATTGTATCTCCAGGAAAAGCTACAACTGTGCATGTCTTGTGAGCCAAGGGCTGTGCCTCTCCTTCCTTCCTCTTGCAGGGGTGTCTGACCCTCCATTTACAAATGGGGAAACTAAGGCCCAGAGAGCTTGCATTTCTTGTTCTGGAACATGTGGCTAGTCTGTGGCTAAGAGGAACCTGACTCCAGTTCTATCTTCCCAGGGGAGCCCACAGTTCAGTTAATAATAATCAGCTTTGTGAAAACTAGCCTATTTCAGAGAAGTAACAAGCAGATTTACTTGTCCTAATTGCACACACACAGTAGAGATCAAGAGGACAGCAGTCTAAGCTCTCTGAGTTAATTTTGACTTACTGTGGGTATTTGATGGGTTACCCAAGCCACTAGTGTTTTTTTTTTTTTTGGAAGAAATGTTAATTAGGTATTCAATACTAAAACTTTTTTCTTCTTTTTGTTAGGATGGCAAATTTGAGTTACATCAAAAACTTCAGATTTAGCAGCTCAGCAAAAGATGAATTGGGGTACTGCCTGACCTCAATCGAGGCTGCAATCGAATATATTCGGCAAGGAAGCCTTTCTGTTAAACCACCTGTAAGATCTCATTCCTGACCTTTCTCTATGTGAACCATGCACCTTTGCTGGGATTCTGGGGTTTCTTGTAAGGAGAAGAATTCTTACATGGTCTCCCAGAAACGGGGCCTCAGCTGTTTGAAGGCTGTGAGGCTTGGAAACTACCCCAGGATGTTGAATATTAAATTTCTAATTAATTGTGAAAATTACAGGTTATCATTGTGATTCACATTGTTAATATCCTGCTTCATTAATCCCTGTCATTTTCAAAAGCACATGTTTGGAAAGGAAGCCAGAAATGGTGAATTTGGTTTTCATGACAATGATAGCCAAGAAATGATTATTAATGTGAGTGATTTTAGGACTCAGTGGCCTTATTATTGTTGTCTGGGTTGGTTGGTGAGCTTTGACTAGAGGAGGAGGTTCTATTTCTGTGTGAGCTGTGAGACTCTTAAGTCAAGATTGCATTGCTGGCCTGTTAGACTATACACCAGCCAGCAAAACTCACAATGCTCAGAAAAATCCCAAAGTTGAAATCAGTAAAATGCAGCGATTTCTGCATTACAAGCCAAGAGTCCTGAGGATCGGATATTCCATTTGATGCTAATTCTCTATTGATGTTAGAGTCAAGTTTACACACCTGGAAAACATAAGCCTGTCTAGACAGGTGCACTCAGATAAAAGCAGTTCCACTGAACTCAACATTAACACTTTGCTATGTTTTTCAGTCTTTCCTATCCATGCACATTTTATGTAATTAAAATTGTATTGTGTACTGTTTTTTTCCCCTTAAAGAAGAGCTTTATTTTTCTGATTACAAGACTAATATTTGCTTACCAATAATGTTTACAAATTTGTAGTGAAGTCAACTGAAAAACTCTCAAAAATTTACCAGCTAGGGTGACTTTTATTGACAAGTTTGGTGTATGCTTTTCTTTTTGTATTAAAGGTTGTGTTTTAAACAGAATTTGAGATTGTGCTGTCCTTGTCAGCATATACCCTGATGGCATTATAGTGCTCAATGAAGAGTTAATTTCTGCCCTTGCCTGGGGTCTGATTTGATACCCACTCAGGTGCTGGTATCACTAGAGATGTCCATCCATCTCAGATGTGTGGCTGTGGTTCTTCTGAAGAGCTGTTCCTTCTGCCTGGCTTTGTTTCTGTATTTCGGGGTAAATCACTAACGTTCTAGAATGCTTGTGTGTGCATGCGTGCCTCTGTGTGCACGTATGTGTGCAGAATCAGATTTCCTGTTCATTTCCATAGTTGGAGAGGAAGAGTTCTTGGTTTGAATTGTTTCCCGTGAGGCTTTAGGAACCCGTGCTGTCCTCAGGTGCTGGATTGTTTTTCTGTGATAACCCTGCCTTCTGGTTCTTTTCCTGCGATTGGTCTGGGAGGTTACTCCCTGGCTGGGAGCATCCTTGTCCCTTGAAGGGAGGTGTCCACCTCTTGAAGGTACTCCCATAATGTGGTCATTTCTTTCTGTGGTGTTTAGGTAGGGAAGTTGACCCCTGAAGGCCTTGGAAGGAGGTAGCTGACTTCAGGCAGCTTCTCTCACCTGCTTTTACTCCAAAAAATGTTGCAAGTGTTTATATTCAAGGTGGTCCCTCTAGTGCTATTGGTTTGAGTCTGGCTCTTGTGCTTGTCACTCTAAGCCTCTGTTCAATGTCCTATCTACATAGCTGGGGATAATGCTGCACATTTATCCATAAATAGATTGTTGTGGGAATCAAATGTGATATTGAAAGGTACATTTTGAAGCATCAAGGGATACTCATGCCCTTGCTTGCTCTCCCCACACCCCTGCATCCAAGGTGTCTGTTTCTTGGTTCTGTGGCATATCCTGTAGGCATATCCCCAGACAATATTTAGCTTGGGTGGGCAAGCCCAGTGTGCCCATCTTGTCTGCAGTGCCTCTCCTGGTCTTGCCTTCCTGGATGGAGGATATTCTATTCTGTTAGATGTTGGGGCATGGGGTGTATCAGCCTCATGGCCTGCTTTGAGCTTGTCCCCTGGGTGTTGAGGGAGTCAGGCCTAAGAGATACTCCTCACCATTGTCGAGCTTGGCTTTTTGTTGACAGAGTAGGAATGGTGCCTTTCTTGTCTTTCTTGACACCAGCATCGGGATTCCATCTGTAACAATATCCTCTGCCTTAGCTGCTGACCAGCTTCTGTTAGGCAATGAGGTTTCATTTTTGGAATGTGTGAAGCCAGTGAAAGTCTTGGGGTATTTCCTGGGGCGGGGGGGTACCCATAAGCATCTCCACACAACAGCCATGGTTTCTGAAAAGCATTAAAATCTAAATGTTAGTAAAACAAATTATGTCTTACTATCAACTGTTTATATGATATGATTGCACAGAAATTTTCTCCCTAAGGTATGATCATACTTGAGATGACCATAAACATTCTTTAAGCATGTTTATAAATGAAGACTTTAGCTTTCTGAAAATAAATATACTGGTTAAGGCTGTAGTTTTACTTTATGCGTCAAACAAAAAGCAGGGGGAAAACCTAGAAAGAATCTGTACTCTTTCTCACCCCAGCTTTGGGCACTTCTGGGCTTCCTCTCTTTCCTGGGTTTCTAACAAACAGTCTTCACCCATTTCCCAAATAAGTCTTTGCTGATACACTGTCTCTTCTAACCACTGCTTCTTCCCTGAAGCTTCGGTCCTTGAAGACCTACCTTCCTTCATCACTGTCCTTCAAGTCGTTATTTGGAGCCAGGGAAAGAGCCCTGGAGTGACCTGCACAGCAATGTCTTTGATGTTTCTCTGGCCTAAGCTGCTCAACTATAAGTCACTGCTCAAAGCAGATTGTTGGGAGGCTTTATATAGCACATGGCAGCTGGAGGCGGAAGTGGCTTATTCTGAGGTGATGATGTGCATTTGTCAACTTAACTCTTCTTCAGGGCCAGTGTGAGGCCCTGGCTTGATGGAGGACCCCAGAAGTGGTCCATCCCCTGAGGTGCCAGTGACTTGGTCTGTAGCCAGGTCAGAACTTAGCGGGACATAAAGAGAGAGAGAGAGAGAGAGAGAGAGAGTGCCTCATCCTGAAATTTTGGCAGGGTTTGGTGATTTCTTCCAGCAGCACCTGGCTGGAAAAAAAAAATTTTCCTTTGCTTTATCAAGACTCTTTTTCAGGAAATGAATATGTCATTAGATAATTTAGTCACAGGTGCTCAAGTGAGCATGGAGTTATTTTGCTATAAATGATTTCATAAAGGACAAATTTCTAGATTTTTGTACCTAGGTAAACATTACCTGCAATAGGAAGATCTGGGTTTATGAATTGGGTGGATCCTTGAAACGCAAAAAGCAACGGGAGATGAGAGAATCCATCTGTCAGGAACTTCCCCAGTGTCTTCCAGGACTTTAGCCTGTGACTGTATAGTCTCCTGTTTTTAAAGCAAGGCCCTTCCTTCTCTTGCTGATTGGCATTGAAAGTAGAGACCAACCAGTCAGATGGTTTTCCTGTCTGAGGTGCTGGTTAAAATGGCAAGGAAAAGGCCCATGCAGGTGTTAGGACAAGTTTTAAGGGGGAGGAGAGCAGGACAACCCCAGTTTCCATCTGGAGGATGATGGTGTGTGTGTGTGTGCTACATTCCGCATGCAGAGATGACAAATTCCACACCCACGTCACCAGTGTGCTGCTTTCCCGCAACAGGCAGCAGTCCTCAGAGCCACCACTTCCAGGTGGCCCTGCTGTCTGCTGGAGGACAGTCTGCTCTCTCCTGGTGAGCAGATCCAGGTGCAGGAGAAGAGATCTGCTGTTGCTGCTCTGTGATGAATGTTAAGGATGGTGGCTGGTCTCTCTCTGAGGGAGGGTCCTCATCAATGTCCTGTGATACATGGTAACAGGTGGTTTGGTGTCTCTTGCAGGAGTCTGAGGGATTTGGTGACAGGCTGTTCCTTAAGCAGAGGATGAGCTTACTCTCTCAGATGACCTCAACTCCCATTGACTGCCTATTTAAGGTAAGACCTAAGACGTCTTTGCCTACAGAAGGCAAAGGAATGCCCATCTTTCAATGTCTATAAAACCCACCAGGTGATCTGTGCAAACTCTGAAGTACACTTTGTGCCAGTCAGGGTGGGTGATAGGAATGCCGAGGTTTTAAATTCTGAATTAGCCCGTCTCCCATCCCCTCCAGTGTGTGCAGATTTGTGGCCTCATTGCACAGATCACTGAAGGCCTGGGCCTTAGAACCCGCTGCCTGGGAAGTCCCCCTCTCTCAGTTTGTCCAAGTTCTGCTTGTTCCTTAAGACTGGCTCAGTGGCGCCTTCTCTGGTAGCCCTCTCAGAGCCACTGCCTCTCCTGGTTCAAGGTGCTTATATACCAGGTGTTCATGTGAACACACCCCAGGCTGGGAACCCATCTGGTTTCTGATGGTTTGATGGTGGGCACATAGAGGCAGCTCCCTACTCTGATGCTGAATGATCCCTGTGGGGCTGATGGGTGCCCTCTGGGTAGCTGCTGAAGGCTGGGTGAGGGTATACCTCCTCAGGGTGCCTGCTAATGCTTCTCGGCTACCTGGTGCCACAGTGAGTTCCATGGAGGGAGCACATCCAGGGATTCACAGGCTGAGCCCTGCAGGTTGATGGGGCCTCCTGATAATTTTCTCCAAGCTGAGGCTATATTCAAATATAAGAGAAATAGGAATGAGGCTTTTCTAGTGAGGTGTCAAAATCCACACTGAGGCTCAGAGATGTGTTACACCCTCCCCTTCCCCGTGCTTCTGGAATTTTGTCATACTTGTTTTTTAATTATGGGAAATTTCTAAAGAAAATAGCGTTAATGAGCAAACCACCCAATCTTGTTTCATCTCCACCCTCCTCACTTTCCCCATCTGCCCCAGTGATCTTGAAGCACATCCCAGGGAATGGGTCATTTTAGCCATAAACACATATATGTACGTTTCTGTCAAGACTCAAAAAATTCATGCCTTCAGAAAGGAATGATTCCTTAATGTTGACATTATCTGGGATGTTGCTCTTTAGCACATTGCATCAGGTAACCAGAAAGAAGTGGAAAGGCTTCTCAGCCAAGAAGACCATGACAAAGATGCCGTCCAAAAGATGTGTCACCCACTGTGCTTCTGTGATGATTGTGAGAAGCTTATCTCTGGGTAAGAGGGTGCTGGTGAGGCTTGCCTGTCAGGGAACAGGAGACCCGAGACTGGGGGAGTATTTCCCATGGGATTGTGAATGTGGCCTTATTCTCACTGTACCTGAGCTACCTCTTGTCAGGTGTGGGCAGTGACCTGTGTCTCTCTGGAGAATTGGGTGGAATAGAGGTTATAAAAATACCTGCATGCTGCTGGGCCAGATACCAGGGCAGGCTGCAGTAGGGCCTGTCCCAGCCTCAGAAAGGGGGTTTCAGGATGGGGGAGAATGTTACTTTTCCCTTGTAACATGTTTGGTTTCCCATTATCCTCAACAGGCTGTCTTGCAGGCTTTTGAGGCCTGAAGGATTGATGGGGAGGGGACCCTAGAACTCTGGGCCTCAGGTCCTCACACTACAGGAGTCTGAGCAAGGGCTGTTTGATCCCTGGGACAGTATCGAAGAGACCCATCTTGGGTCACATTCTGTGATCTCTCTTGCAGCCCCAGGTCCCTGGCATGTCCGGCCTGGTCCAGAAGAGGCTGTACCAGGCCATTTCATGGTGTTTTTCTGTGTCTTCTTCTATTTTAGGAGGCTGAATGATCCCTCAGTTGTCACTCCTTTCTCCAGAGATGACAGGGGTCATACACCTCTTCATGTGGCTGCTCTCTGTGGTATGTGGTCTTGGGCTGGCTCCTGTGGGTTATTGAGGGAAGGGGGTGGCACAGAAATGTGATCCCAGCCCAGGCCTGGCTGATAGGGGTGGTGGAAGGGGTTGTACTGTGGGGCCAGCACACAAGGGCAGGAAAGAGAAAATGGCCCCAGGCCGACTTCTGGGCTAGATGGGCACTTGCATATGGTTCTCACTATGTGGAGAAACTTCAGATACTGCCTGGGCCTGCTGGCCAATAAGGAAGGACTGGCATCCTAGCTATGAGAATGGTCTTTGATTGTCAGTTTGAGTTCTTGTAACCCTGCTTTTAAAAAGTAAATTTGAGCCAGTCCTGATAGCATGTGTCTATAATCCCAACTTATTGGGAGGCTGAGGCAGGAGGATTGCCTGCCTCAAGGCCAGCCTGAGCAACACAACAAGACACTGTCTCAAAAAAAGTTGTTTTTGTGTTGTCTTTAAAAGTGTACATTCAAGGTAGAAGACACAGACTCCTCCAGGGTTATCCGCCATCCTTCTGTCTCCCTGAGATAATTTTGATTCATTAGTATCTGAAATGTCTGCATGCTTGCATGTATGTGTATATAAAATGTTGGTTTTGTGGGGGCTCATGCTGTTCCGGATTGTGTTGTTTTTCACTTGGCAATGTGTCGGAACATTTCTCCTTGTCAGTATTTTGAATGGTTTCAAAGTATTTCACCCTATAAATTGATGAACCATGCACTCTTCTGTTGATACCAAAGACTTTTTTCCATTGCCTTTTATTACCGAGTGGTAGACCTGATCTGAGTCACCAAAGTATTCTGAGTCTGCACAGCCCGACGACATTAGCTTTGGCTCCTCTCAGGCAAGAAACAGGTCTCCTGGTGTCTCCTGCCAGGGCACAGGAAGACGAGGTGGTGCTGGAGTTTCATGTTAGACATGGAAAGGTCTTCTCTTTCCTTCTCCACTCTGAAGTCCCTCTGTTCTGTAGGGCAGGCGTCTCTCATCGACCTCCTGGTTTCCAAGGGTGCCATGGTGAACGCCACGGACTATCACGGGTCCACTCCTCTTCATCTGGCATGTCAGAAGGGCTATCAGAGTGTGACGGTGAGCAGCGGTGCCTTCACAGTGCTCAGAGGAGCTCAGCTCTGCATGGGGGCTTTATGGTCCTGCTGGCTGTGCTGCACCCCGGTCTCTCCCAGCACCACGCCTTCTCCATTCTGCGTAGGCGCTGCTGCCGCAGTGTGGTTGGTACTAGGAGGCTATGGCGCCTGCCCAGGGTTTCTCCACAAAATCCTTAGGTTGGGATATGAAGCTTCCTGGTCATCTGCTGAGAGAAGGGTGGGACTGTAGACTTTTTTTTTTTTTAGTCTCTCTAAACTTTTGGACAGGAAAAATGAGAGTGGTGGTAACATTTTAATAGGAGTACAGTTTGAGTATCCCTTATCTTAAATGCTTCAAAATGTTTTGGAATTCAGATATTTTTGGATTTTGTAATATTGGCACATTCCTAATGAGATATTTTGGGAGTGGGATCCAAGTCCAGACACAAAATTCATTCAGGTTTCTTATATCCCTTACATACATAGCCTAAGAGTAGTTTTATACACTATTTTAACTGTGTCTACATTTTGATTGTGACTTATTGCTTGAGGTAAAGTGGGGAACTTTTTGCTTGTGATGTTAGTGCTCAGAAAGTTTCAGATTTGGGGGGCTGGGGATGCGGTTCAGAGGTAAAACCCTTGTGTAGCATGTGCAAGGCCCTGGGTTCCATTCCTAGTACCACACACATGCACGTGCACACGCACACCCACACAAACACATAAGAAGGAAAGAAAGAAAAGTTTCAGACTTTTGGAGTATTTTGGATTTCACATTTTGAGATTAGGAATGCTCAACCTGTAAAAATAACTAAGATTTAAGATGGGAACAAATGACCTCCCCCTGTAAGCCTCAAGAATACACTTCCTGCTAGGGCTCACCTGCTGTCTTCTCTCCTCTGCAAGCTGCTGCTGCTGCACTACAAGGCCAACGCTGAGGTGCAGGACAATAATGGCAACACCCCACTCCACCTGGCCTGCACTTATGGTCATGAAGATGTAAGTGGCACTGGGAGAAATGTGAATTTCTGACTAGTTTAATTTTGTGTTGATAAATTATTGGAACACTGGGTGTGTAATTTTTGTAATTAAAATTTTTAAATGTATTACAGATGCTGTTTCAAAGTAGCAGAAATCTAAAACTTAGTTGCCCATTATCTTATCCTCATCCCATTTTCCTTCCTTGCCCATTTTCCTTCATGCCTGCTACCATCTGGTTCTTATCTTTGTATATAGTCAATCTTTCCCTTTGATGGTAACATCTAGGAATTTTTAAAGTTTCACCTCCTCTATTTTACTATGTCTGTTGTTTTTTGCTACCCACTATCCCTCCTTTTCTTCTCCAGAGTTATATAAAGATAGATTTATACATATGCAGAGTTTAGGCTGGGCTTGGTGGTTGATGTACAAAAATGGGATCATGCCCTGTCTGTTTTCATGCACCACGCTTTTCTACTTTAGTACTACTTAACAAAGTCCTCTAGGTCCACCAATATTCATCACACCCATTCTTTAATAGCTGCACAATGATCTTTCATATGCATTGTGTCAAGGGTCTTTAAGACCACTTACAGGTTTAATGGTTTGCTGGTACTCAGAATACAATCATACTACTTACAACCATGGTTTATTACAATGAAAGAACACATAGCCAAATCTACAAAAGGAAAGGACAGGGATGAAGTCCAGAGGGAACCAGAGCTGAGCTTCAAACAGTCCTCTCTCTATGGAGTCACAAAAGAATGTGCTTAGTTCCTCCAGCATGCGCTATAACAGCACACAGGCAGTGTGGACTGCCAGGGACATTCATTACGGACTCAGTGCCCAAGACTTATGTTATTGAAGGCTAGTCATCGGAGCACCCTCTGTATAGCATGTGCCAAGATTCCATGCTCTAGAGGGAAAACAGATGTTCAGCATAAACCACATCATTGTACAAAACAACAGAAGCTCAGTGAGCCACCTTTTCAGTGAGGGAACTGTGGGAATGATCTCCAAATACAAGTGCCCCAGGAATTGTTGCAGGCCAAAGGACAATCTTGCAAGCAGGCTTTTTAAGGGATAGCATTCCTAGGGATGGCCTGCCATGGTATCTGTCCTGTCCGGTTTCAGCCAGCCATCCCTTATTGAACTTTTGAGAAAAATGAGATGTCCTGATCAGATAGCATGGAACCCTTGAGTTACAATTGTCCATTGCTGCATTTTTGCTTGATAGTGGAGCCTTGGTTGAACCAGAACATGGATTGAGCATGAGCACAGATATTGCCATTTTCCAATTTCTCTGCAGTGTGTGAAGGCTTTGGTCTACTACGATGTGCAGGCGTGCAGACTGGACATTGGTAATGAGAAAGGAGACACACCCCTACACATAGCTGCACGTTGGGGTTACCAGGGCATCATAGAGACGTTGCTACAGAATGGAGCACCCACAGAGATCCAGAACAGACTGAAAGAAACACCGCTCAAATGCGCACTAAACTCTAAGGTAGCTCTTTTCATCTCTTGGCAGCAGTATAACTGTAGAAAATCAATGTCCATAGATTGGCCTTGCTGGACAAATGTGCATTAGTGCCTGAGGGAAGTACTTGGCTCTCATGCTCCCTGCTACATTTGGGGCCTCGTTGTTAATAGGTTTTACTTATTTATATTGTTTCCAGTTTCACTGCAGTTTTTAGGAGCCACTCCCAGCAGAGTTGGCCCCGTGCTCTGAGTGCTTTGGGCTCACCAGCAAATGGATTGGGTGAAAAAGGGAACAATGGCTCTGGATGAGAAAAGCAAGGACAGAGAATTGGGAGAGTGAACACAGTGTCTAAACCCCGTTTTCTATCATAGCAGCTTCTAGAAACTTTAGTCGTGTAGTTTCTTCCACAAATGATTTGTAATAACTCACTCCCCTTTTTCCTGGCAATATCTTCTTGGAAACATGGTTTTGGCATCCTGTGGTGAAGTGTTCTCCATTCATGATGAGTGGGGAGAGGGTGGCTCACAGAGACCAGTGCTTAGTGTCTCTGCCTCTCTGCGCAGCCCTGGTGGGCAGGATGCCTAAGAGAAGCAGGTTGGAGAACTCACCAGAGAAAACAGCAGCCATGTGAGGTGGAGCCCTCTGGGGTGCCCAGAATATCAGTGAATCATGGCTCACACAGGTGATTCCATTTTATTGGAGTGATCCAGTCATCGCCCTCACGCAGACCCAACTTCCTGCCATTTGATGTTTTACCTGCTCCCTTTGGTGGTTTCCAGTTCTTTTCCAGGGAATCCTTTTAGAATTCCTGTTAACGTCTTATTCTGGGAGTAGCACAGTTTTTGTCTATTTTGAAACCACTTTATTGATGTATGATTGATATACAAAAGGTTGTATACATTTCAGACGTAATAGCCATGGATTTGGAGATAAGCATTCACCTTCACTTATAAATGAGATAGACCATCACTATGATCTGTGCTGTAAGTGCAGCCATCACTAGCAGGAGTCTATTACTTATTATTCCTTTTGTGTGCAGTAAGAACACTTAGCCTAAGGTCTGTGGTAGCACTGGTTTTGAAGGGTTAAGTTCCTGCCCCTGGCTTCAGGGGATGTTGGCTGTACTGCCCCCTGAATTCACAGTGTCTCAGCTTTGCAAATAACTAAGGTGCCACCCTTGGACTGATGTGCTGGGAAATCTCAGCACATCACAAGGGTGATTCTCCTGCCACTGTGGCTTCTACCAAAGGCCCTTTGGCAAGGAGAGCTACAGAGAAAAAAGAAGCTGCCCTGTTGACTCAGCTCTGAGCTACCCCAACTTGAGACTTGTGGGTGCTGGTGGGATGGTCACACTCAGTGGACAAACCAGCCAGGGTCCAGATAAGAGAGCCTTTGAAGCTCTTCGTAGGAAGCACTGACACCCCATTGGACAGGAGGAGCATCATATGCTGGGAGGAAGCCCCTCGCTGTCCATGTGATCCTGAATACATTCCTGTCTGCTTCAGGTCTTGGTTTTTTTATCTGAGCAGGTGTGGCTGGGCTGCAGGACCTACATCTCCTACTGTGCTGACATCCCAAGTGGACAGACGAGTGGGTGATGGTGCTTTGTTGTAGCCTATCTCATTCAGGGCTTTTAATATCCTCTTTATCTTCCTAGATTCTGTCTGTGATGGAAGCCCATCATCTGTCTTTGGAAAGAAGACCAAAGGAAAGGAGGTCTTCCGAGGTAAGTCAACAGGGCTTGTTGTATTGGATGGAGCCCAGGGGCTTCTCCTCTGGTTCTCAAGTGTCTGTATCCACAAGTTTCATCTCTCATCTGGGTTTTCTTACTATAGGTCCCTCAACAGTCCCCTCAACGCTCTGTGGATTCCATCAGCCAAGGGTCCTCCACCTCCAGCTTCTCCTCCATGTCAGGGAGCTCCAGACAGGAGGAGACCAAGAGGGACTACCGAGAGGTGAGCCTTCCAGGCAGGAGGTCCGAGAAGAGAAGAGGACCTAGTAGCCCTGATATTCATGCAGCTACTCACACAGCCACTCCTCCGCTGAGGTGGTCAGTGCCCTCCAGTTGACCCTTGACCCAACTGTATCTCACATTGCTCTTCACTTTTGCTGGTTCTTGCAGGATCCTCCCTGGAGCTCTTTGCTTGGTGGAGTGTGTGTTTGAGAGAAAGAGACAGACAGACAGATACAGAGACAGAATATATCCTAAGAATACAAGTAAAGCCATCTATAGGCCCACTGGTTTCAGACCTCTTACAAAGTATGTTCTCTGCCCTCTCCCCCCATGCTGACCCCTCAGCACCCAGTTTAATGCCCTGATATGCCCAGTTCCTGGCTTCTTGATGAGTTTAGGTAAACATTGAGATGTAGACACTGCCGCAGTCTGTCTGGGCACAAAATAACCGAGCCACCACAAAAGACTTGTAGATTCCAACAGCAACTCTTTATTCCCGAACTTTTACCTGCACTCTACACGCACGCACGTTCTAGGAAAAATACACCCTCCACCAGGCTCTGCGTACCAAATACTCTCAGAACCCCATGAGAACTCCATGGGAACTCAAGGAGTGGGCGCCTGAGGCAGCAGAATACACCCTATTCCCAGCGGGATCCACCCTAAACCTGGAGCCACCCTAATCCAGCAGGATCCACCCTAAACCCGGAGCCGCCCTAATCCCTGAGCAAGGTCACCTTTCAAACAAAAACTCTCAAACATTCATGCAATGTCACTGCAAATGACCTGGGTCCAAGGCAAGGCCATTTCCACAATGGAGAGTCCTCCCTCTAAGCAACATTGGGTAGGCTGACAAGGAAATTGCCATGCGTCATTCCTATTTGGCTATGGCTCTCAGCAAGACACAAGTTGCATTTTGTAAGAGGTGATTTATAGCCTGATGTCCCCCCCCCCCTTTGTCTTAGAGTTGATTCAGTGTCAGTCCAGTGGAGCTGCCTCATTGTTTAACTGAGGAATGGACCATTGTATGGCTCTTGCTCAGCTCCTTTGATGATCCATTGATAGCCCTAGTGCTCCCCACAACCCCAAACTGTGACCTACTCTCAGAGGGTCCAGCAAGCTTAGCTCCAGGAGCCACAGCAAAGAGCACAAGAGACATAGTCCATAGTGTAACAGGCCTGATGTTGTCCTCAGGAGGGGGTGTTCACCCTTGTGGCACCCTCAGATAGCAGCTCATGAGAGCCCAGTGAGTATGGTTCTGAATCATAGGGTGGCTATCTTCCCAGGAGGTGACTGTCAGGGTCACCATGTCTCACCTTCCACATAATTAGCAGTTATATTTTATAAGTGGCAGTGACACGCACACCTTCCAGATCCTTCTGAGCAGCTTTAGGGTTTGTCAGAAAGGTAATAAATGAGCCACTCTAACACCACAAGCTAAGACAAATGAAGGTCACTAAACTTTCAGATGTCTATTATTTCTGTTGTTATTTTGTTATTAAAATCATTTTCCTAACATTCTTTTTCCTTTTATTAAGGTAGAAAAACTTTTAAGAGCAGTTGCTGATGGAGATCTAGAAATGGTGAGTTTTTGAAAGAGCATTTTTAAAAAAAATATTTATTTTTTAGTTGTAGCTGGACACAATACCTTTATTTCATTTATTTATTTTTATGTGGAGGATCGAACCCAGGGCCTCACACGTGCTGGGTGACTGCTCTGCCGCTGAGCCACAACCCCAGCCCTGGAAGAGCATTTTTAAAAGCTCGCTCTCAGTTTAAAGAGGCTATACCTGCGTTTCTTGTTGCTAGTCCAGTCTGAAGCCACATGGCTTCTTTGTTCAGCTCCACAGAGAAGGTGGCACATTGAGTGCATGTTTGGTAATGGTGAGGTCGTGTTTTCCAAACAAGTAAGGCAGTGCATTGTGAATGTGTCTCCTGCCTTGTAGATGTTCCTATTCTAGGAATGTGACGAGGTGTTGGCAAGAAGACCAGCCATGCTCAGTGGCATAGAGTGTGGGCTCAGAGCCCAGGCCTTCTGGCCAGGGAGCAAGGTGGGCTGCCTGGTTGAAAGAGTGCAGAGTTGTGGGGAGGGGTAGAGGTGGCAGAGGCCAAGGCCAGGCAGAGTTCTGAGTGTACCAGATAGCATTGTGGACAGCTCCAACTCTTGGGCCAGGAGGCTGAGGTCTGAGGCATGGACCTTCAAGGAGTCAGAATCAGGGGTCTGGACAAGATGCTGCTGGCTGCTCTGGGTCTGTGGCTAGTGAGGAGTTCATGGCTTGAGAGAAGGACCTGTTCTAAGCATCACTGTCAGGAGAGGGCACACTCTTGATGGGATCAGTGGAGACAGCCTTTGTGAGATTCCCAGAGTGGTTTCCCTGGCTTCCTGAAAGGGAAGATATATCTTCCACTTTGGAGGAATAAATCAGGTGTTTTACAAAAGAGTAGCTGGAATATGTCATCTTCTAAGAGACCAGTGTGGTGATGTGTGTTTTTCACTAATGCCTGAGTTTAAGGTGGTGAGCAGAAATTGCTAAGGCCTGATTCTTATAGCCTTTGGGAGGCAATTTATGGTTATCAGAATATTAGCCTTTGCCTGGTGGCCTCTGTGAGTTCATCAAAATCAAAATGATGTACAGATCCTCTCTGGGGACACGGGTGTCTGTGTCTGGCCCATGATGCTGGGTAGCTCCATTCATGAGATCAGTCCCAGAAGAACCCAACATTCTTTGCAGAAGCAAAGGAGGATGTCTGTAGGTACTCTAAGAGCTAGGGTGTGAGCCAGTGGCCCAGCCTGTGTGGAGAAGTGCTAACACTATCCCACATGATTACATTATCTGTTCTGTTTCCTACTGTGGTGAGTGGGGCGGGCCACTTATGAAGCAGATGAACAGAAACAACTGCCCATTTGTCTGAGTCACCATTCACATGCCATCACATCCCAAGTCCCTCTCAAGGCCACCTGCCTCCAAGGTTTGCACCCCGATCTTGTTCCCTTTTTACTGAGAGACACTGCTTGAGAATTTTACCCTCTAGTCTATTAGCTGCAGCCCCTGCATAGATGCCTTTGTGTTTCCACTGCAGAGTTGTCAGGGATGTGGAAACGACCTGGAAGACACAAGGTTTGGAGTTAATGGGGTCTTTCTGGAAATGGTCCCTCCTTGAAGGCATGTGCTAATTTCTTGGCACCTAGATCAGGACCTAGAAGTGCATTTATATTGCTTCCTTTCCCCAAATTTAACATTCTAGAAACCAGTCTTTACATAAATTTGAACTGTTTGGGGTCTTCTCAATGGTGTCACCTGTGAGCTAGTACACAACGGTGGGAAGAACACTTTAGTGGAGTCAGGGGCCTATGTGTGGTGCCATCACCACTCTCTAGTTTTGGGCTCTGGAATGTGTTATTAACCTCTTCGGCCTGAGTTTTGTCAGATTTGAAGGGAGGACTCTGGAGCTGCCTCATGGGTTGTTGAAAGCACATAACTAGCACAGGAGGATGCACTTACTCAGGTTTGAAATCCCTCATCCCAATGCAGCACCAGTCTGTCCCTCAAAGAGAGAAGAAAGACTTTAACATGAGCTGTGAAAGGTCCCCCACCCTCGTTGGAAGGAGGTGGAACAGCCTGAGCACAGGTGGCACAGGGAGTCTGCATTAGGGAGAAGAAGCCATTTATAAATTAATTTGGTGGCTGAGGAAGGAAGCGTAGGCCCTGTCTTGGGAACAGTTCAGCGTGTGTGGTGTGCATGTGAGATACATAGCTTGCACAGGCGCCAAGGATAACTTCTAGTTCCTCTTTCTCCCAACACCAGGTGCGTTACCTTTTAGAATGGACAGAAGAGGACCTGGATGAGGTGGATGATACTATTGGTGCAGCAGATCATGAATTCTGTCATCCCTTGTGTCAGTGCCCCAAATGTGCTCCTGCTCAGAAGGTTTGGCTTTGCCTCTGTTGGGGTAGGGGGACTGGCATATTCTTTTCTCTTTCCTTAGGAGAGTTCTCTGCTTCCTAGCCAGATAATTACTGAGTGGCTATTAAAAGGCACCTCCTGAGATATGTGGGGGTGGGGGTGGGGGCGGGGATTAATTTGCTGCGAGTGGAGAGAAACTAACCCTGTGCAGGACCCGGCTTGGGCGGCCTGCTTCCTGAATGGGCAGGTGAGCCAGCAGGGCGGCGCCCACATGCTCAGTGTTTCTGGTGCTTGTTGGCCCCTAAGCCGCGTGGCAGTCATGAACAGACATGCCTGAGGGTCTCTGTCTGCACTGGAGCTCCCTGGGGAGGCTACGAGTTGTTTCTTTGCTGCCTTTGCTCATGTTGGTTTGCACTTGGAGGGGACCAGCCTCCAAGTACAGAGAGTTTCCTCTACCCTTTGCCCAGTTTCCCCCAGTGGTAACAACTTATTTATTTTGTTTACACAATACCTTCACTTTATTTTTTATGTGGTGCGAGGATCAAACCCAGTGTCTCATGCGTGCTAGGCAAGTGCTCTACCACTGAGCCACAACTCCAGTCCCCAGTGGTAGCATCTTGCAAAACTACAGTAAAAAATAAAACCTCAGCCAGCATATTGACATTGATGGAATCTATTGCTCTGAATTGAGGTTTCTCCAGTTTCACTTTGCCCGTCTGTGTGCATGTATTTAGTTCTGTGAGGTTTTATCACCTGCAGATTTGTCTGTCCTCCAACACATTCAAGCTGAGAACAGTTTTCTCACCACAAGAAGAATCACTCTTGCTGGCCTTTCATTATCCCTCTCCTTGCCACCCCATCCCAACTATCCCTAACCCCTGGCAATGTGTCCTCCCAGCAGCTCCGGAGCCTGAGGCAGGAGGGTCAGTTGAATCCAGGAGTTTGAGACCATCCTAGGCAGTATAGCTAGACCTCATGGGGAAGAGAGAAAGGGAGAGGAGGGCAGGGGAAAGGGAAGTGAAGGAAGAAAAGTCACGTAGAGGTAATCACAAGGTACCTAAGCTTTGAGGATTGGCTTGGCTCACCCAACATGATCCCAGCAGGCTTTTGTGAGGATGTTTCCATTTCTCTAGGATCAATACCCAAGAGCTCAATTGCTGAGCACTATGGCATGTACGGTAATCCATGGTTAGTTTCCAAGGAACTGATAGACTTCTCCAGAGTGACTTTAGCATCACACTTTCCCACCAGTAGTGTGTTCAAGTTCTCCACATCCTCACCAGAATTTGGAGTTGTCACCATTTTAATTTTAGCCATTCTGACCGGAGTGTAGTTCTCCCTCATCATGGTTTAATATGCGTTTCCCTGGTGGATGATGATGTCGAACATTTTCCGTGTGCCTTTTTTGAGCATCTTTTCACGCACTTCAGTGAAATGTCTCTTCATTTCTTTTGCACATTTTTAAATGTTTTTTTTTTTTTTGAGTTTTGAAAGTTATTTATATCTTCTAGATACTCGGTCTTTGTCAGATATATGGTCTGCAAATATTTTCAGGATTTTTTTTTTTTTAGTTGTAGATGGACATAATACCTTTATTTTATTTATTTATATGTGGTGCTGAGGATTGAGCCCAGGGCCTCACACATGCTAAGCAAGTGTTCTACCACTGAGCCACACCCCAGCCCCTCAGTCAGCATTTTAATCTGAAAAATGTTCACATGGCCTCTAGCAGAGCAAAATTTTTAATTTAGAAGCTCAATTTGTCAAGTTTTCTTTTTCTGGATTATTCTTTGGGTGTCAAGTCTGAGATCTCTTTACTTAACCTTAGATTTCAAAGACTTTTTTTCTTTTTTAAGTTATAATTTTACATTTTATAGTTAATTCCTAGACCCAGTGTGAGTTAATTTTCATGCAATGATTGAGGTCAGATTGAAGATTTTGTTTACTTGTTGTTTTGCCGGGTTGACTTCCTCTGGCACCATTTGCTGGAAAGGCTACCCCTCTTCCATTAACCTGCTTCTGCACCTCAGCTGACTACGTATGGTGTGGGTCTACTTCTGGGTTTGCTGTTCTGTGCCCCTCTCCCACTCCTGCATTGTCTTGATTTCTATTGCTCTGTAGGAAGCTTGAGTATTGGGTGGAGTGATTCCTCCTACCTAGGACTTGCTTAGCCAGGATTGTTGTAGCTATTCCAGGGCCTGTGCTTTCCCAGGTTCATTTTTAAATAAGCTTGTCAATGTCTATGGAAAAAAAAAAAAAAACCTTGCTGGGGTTTTGATAGGAATTGCATGAAACCTATGAATTGGTTTGGGGAGAAATAATACCTTTACAATGCTGAGTCTTCAATGAACACGATCCATTTCTTCATCAACATTCTGTGATGTTTAGCATGCAAATCCTTTTATTTTGAGCAGTCGTGAATGGTATCATGTACACAGTATGTGCTCATGTTGAAGCTACCTAACTATAAACATAAATGTCCCATACTAAGAATATTAATTTGCCTTTACAGAACCGATTAGTGTTATCCTTTATATTGCAAGATAGTACTAAAAATAGCTTCTGATGGGTTACTCTATCTTAAGAATATTGGAAGTGACTACCTTTTATCATCCACATACAGCTTTTTCAGCTGCAGGGTAAGATAGACATGGGTAAAATATAAATTAGATCTGTTCTCACGTTGTTGGATGTGTACTGTACAAAATCCAATTTCCCCAGGTGGGCTGTTGAGGAAAACCTGGGGATTAAAAAGGCAGATGATGTTTCCGAGGATCTGATGGATGCACGAAGCTGAAGCCCTGGCAAGTCTGAGTCTGGGTGGCCCAGGTCACTTCCTGCATCCTGCTGCTGTGTGTCTGTCACTTTCCTGCTCCTGTGTGCTTCCCCTCCTTACGGTTCACATAAGTTGTAGCAAGAAATCAAAATCCACATTAAAATACCACTAGAATTTATTGGATAAAGTCTTATACTCCTTGCTGTTTTGAAACCCCTCATCTTCTTTTCATCCTCTTTTCTTTTTGTAACCTCTCAAAAAGACACAGCACGAAATTGCTTCATGTCTGAATTAAATCAACATCCCTCCCCCAACCATCATCCTCTTCTAGCCCAGTGGTGTGTGTCGGATTTGTTTTTGTTTTTTTTCTTTTTCTTTTTTAATTCTTCTCTGAGCTGTAACTTAGATACAATAAAGCATACCCTTGTAAATATTCAGTTTGCTGAGTTGTCACAGGCCTGCTGGGCTGGGAGACCATTCCACCACCTGGTGTCTGTCCCCCCTGGCATTGCCTCCTGCCACCTCACAGTCCTTCCCTGCTGCCCTACTCCTCTGTCCCAGGCAACACCCATCTATTTTCCATCATTAAGAGATTAGTTTGCGTTTTCTAGAATTTTATGTGGTCAACAGTAAGGTACAGGTTGGACATCCCATATCTGAAATGCTTGGGACCAGAAGTTTTTCAGACTTCAAGAGTTTTCTGAATTTTGGAATTTTTGCATAGACTTTAAAGGTTGAGCAAACCTAATCAAACTTTCAGATTAAGGATGCTCAACCTGAATCACTCTTTTGTGTCTGGGTTCTTTCACTCGTGATACTTGTTTATTTGTTTATTTATAGAGATTGAATCTCACTGTGTTGTACAGGTTGGTATTGGATTCATAGGATCCAGTGAACCTCCTTCCTCAGTCTCAGTTCTAGTCTCTCCATATCCTTGTCAACAGTTGGTATTTTGACCTTTTAACTTTAGCCATTCTGGTAAGGGTGCCACTGCTGACAAGTGTAGATGTGTCAGCCAGCAGGGTGGCATGGGGCCCTTATCTGTAGCAGCAGTGCTGTGGGTTACTGATGGTGTGAGGAGTGTGCTTCCACACACATATATATTTTTAAAATATGCTAGGGTATTTCATTTTATGTGCATGTGTTTTCTTCTTCATTTAAAAAAATTATTTATTTTTGATACAGGGGTCTTAATATGTTGCCCAGGCTGGTCCCAAAATATAGGCATGTGCCCCATCCCTGGATTTGTTTTTTATTTTTTAGGAATAATTTACATATAATAAAATTCAGCCTTTAATACACAGGCTGGGTGTGGTAGTGCATGTTCATGACACAGGAGGATCACAAGCTCAAAGCCAGCCTCAGCAACTTAGCAAGTCCCTAAGCAACTTACAGAGACCCTATCTCTAAATAAAATATAAAAAGGGCTGGGGATGTGGCTTAGTGCCCCTGGGTTCAATCTGTGGTACCAATAGTAATAATACTAATAACAATAATGATAATTTACAACCTAATGTTTGTTTTTAGTGGTATGGTCTAGACAGCAGTTTTTGCCCCCTTTTTGATTGATCTTTTATCAGCATGATTGATTTAAAAACCCCTAGCAGTAATATGGAGGATTCATGATAAAAATGAAGGTGGAGAATGGAGATAAGTAACGAGCAGTTCCATGAGGTTAAACAAACCCACCACAATGAAGATATAGAATACTTCCACCCCCAAATACTCTCCTGCCCCACTGTAGCCAGCCTCCTTCCCCTGATCCCCTGGAGGCTGTAGTCTGTTTCCCCACCTTTCGGTTTGTCGTTCCTGAGTCTGATTTGCATTTTCCCAGTAACTGGTGATGTTAAACATCTTTTCATGTTCTCACTGACCATTCATTTACCTATCTTCTTTTGTTTTAGGTCTGTTCAAACCTTTTGCCTAACTTTTTTAAGTTGGATTGTCTTCTGTTGTAAAATACTTAATTTTTTTTAATGATTAATTCTGGTTGACCTAAGTCCTGTGAGGTATATGTATTGCACACATTTTCTCCCTTTCTGCAGTTTGCCTTTTCATCTTAATCATATCTTTCAAGAGCAAACATTTGAAGTTTTTGTTAAGTCCAGTTTAACCTAACTTTAATTTTTTGTGTGAGTATCATATCTAAGAAATCTTTTTCTATGCCATAGTTGCAAAGAATTTTTTCTTTGCTCTCTTTAAGAAGCTTTATAGTTGTAGCTTTTATGTGTCTGACTATGATGCCTTTTTAATGTTTGTGCTTGGAGTAAGGTAGGGTTGATGTGCAGCATTTCCATATATGGGTATCCAGTTATCCTAGCACCATTTGACTGGCATAAAGGGATATCATTTTAGGGGATTTGCTTTACTAAAAATAGAGGTTATTCTTGTGGTCTTATTACTTTCTAAAGTAATAAGAATTCACCTGTGGGCATTGTGATTCCAGATGCCACTGTGATCCCAAATTTTGCATAGGAGCTGTGTGTGTCAGGGACAAGTGATAATCATTCCTTCAGCCCAATTTCTTAAGTACTGATGATGTTTCTGTTTCTGTTTCCGTCTTCTGCATTTACTAGAAGCTGGCAAGGATTCCTACCAATGGGCTTGGCGTTAATGTGACCAACCTGGATGGCTCTTCCCCACTGCATGTTGCTGCCCTGCATGGTCGAGTGGACCTCATCCCCCTCCTGTTGAAGCATGGTGCCAACGCAGGTGCCAGAGATGCAAACCAAGCCGTCCCCCTCCACTTGGCCTGCCAGAAGGGCCACTTTCAGGTCTGGGCTTTGTCTTTTGGGCATTGTAGCAGGTGCTAGCTTTGGTAGCAGGAACTTACGTGGGGGAAATGTGCAGAGGGGAAAGGTCTTGGGGTCTAGCCCAGAGGACAGTTGCATTTCCTTCCTCCCACCCTGAAATTCTGTAGTACACAGGGCAGGAGCACTTGGCAGCAGAACACAGAACTCTGGTGCTCCCTGGGAGTGGAGCCAGCCCTCTGCCCATTGCCATTTACATCTGTGTGACCCAGAGCTGTCATTCTGATTTTGATCCCAGCAAGAGTTGTCTCCTACACTTGGGTCTTGATCATCTCTCCACCTTTAGGTCTGTGCCAAACAGTTTCATACTTTATGAAGTACAGTCGTGGCCCTGTAGGAGGGGGTCCAAGAGAGAATTTTGGAACAGTTTGTGTTTTTAAATTACTATTTTTCTTATAGAAATTATCTATGTATACATTTTTCCTTTTTCCTTTATCAGTTCCACTGTAGACTCTTTAAAGACAAGGACCGTGTCTCAGGTCTTCATCTCTATCCTGAACACTCAGCAGTGTGCTTTCAGCATCAGCTTCCTAATCTGTAATATCTGAGTCATAATTCCACCTCTCCATAGGGTAGATGTAAAGATTAAACCAAAACAGTAGTGCTCAGTGCAGTGCCTGGCCCAGAGCAGACCCTCAGCAGATGGTACTTCCTCGGCCTCCAGCTGGTCTGCTTTCCCTGGGGTCAGACATATGTCTCAAGAGCCTTCTCAGTAAGCAGAGAAAAATCAGTTTCAAATTAGAGATTTCTTTTTGCACATTTTAACTGAGGTTGAATTTTTTTCTTCTCTGAGCTAGGTGGTGAAGTATCTATTAGATTCTAATGTGAAACCCAATAAAAAGGATATAAGTGGAAACACACCCCTCATTTATGCCTGCTCCAGTGGCCATCATGAAGTCGTAGCACTGTTGCTACAGGTAAGGCCCCTCCCAGCTCCAGCAGGCCTTTTCCCCATTCTCTGAGCTGGTCCACCTGTTAGTCACAGGCCTCCAGAAGAGGAGCTCTGCACCACATTTCCACAGTGGTTCTGTGTGGAAGGGAGCTGGTGCTGTGTCAGGGAGGCAGTGCTTAGGACCTGGGTTCTGCTTTTGCTGGCGGTGTAGGCCTGACCTCACCTACCATGGGTAAGTCGAGTTGTTACCCTGAAGTGTGAGCCCAGTGGCCTTCTGGGTAACAGAGTCAGGGAAAACCCACCTTGTTCATGATCCACTTTGGTGGACTTTTTAAAAATGAGTGTAGTTTTAGATCAGTGTTGTTTTCTCTTTAATTTAATGTAGGATGATCGTTGATTAAGCCAGGTACAGTGATGTATCCCAGCAGCTTGGGAGGCCAAGCCAGGAGGATCACAAGTTCAAAGCCAGCCTTAGCAACTTAGTGAAGCCCTAAGTAACTTGTGAGACCCTGTCTCAAAATAAAACATAAAAAGGGCTGGGGATGCGGCTCAGTAGTTAAGCATCCCTAGGTTCAATCCCTGGAACCAAAAAAACAAAAAACAAAACAAAACAACCCAAAAAACAAAACCAATAACAACACAATTTTTAATGGTCAAGTAAGTATGGATTTACCCTAGTGTTTTCTTTAATGTTTCTTATTTGTTTAAATTTAATCTGTTTTTTTCCCTGCTATAGTGATAAGTGCTGCAATAAACACCTTTGTTCATAAGTCCTTTCTTAGTGTTACTTTTTTAAAATATTTTTTTAGTTGTTGATAGACTTTTATTTTATTTATTTATATGTGGTGCTGAAAATTGAACCCAGTGCCTCACACATGCCAGGCAAGTTTGCTACCCCTGAGCCACAGCCCAGCCCCTCTTAGTGTTACTTTTATCCCCAACATTTTAAGGAAAATATCAGACATAGAAGTTGAAACACTTTTACAGTGAATACCCATGTTCCTACCCCGTAGATTCTGCCTTGAAGATTTTTTAGCATTCCTAATATATCCTAATATTGTGCTGTTTCTCCTTCTAGCATGGGGCTTCCATTAACGCTACTAACAATAAGGGCAATACAGCTCTGCATGAGGCTGTGATAGAAAAGCATGTCTTCGTGGTGGAGCTGCTTCTGCTTCATGGAGCATCAGTTCACATCTTGAACAAGAGGCAGTGCACGGCCATAGACTGTGCTGAGCAGGTGAGTGCAGACAGCATTGGAGCTAGGAGTTCAGGCTCCCACACAGCCCTCTGTGGATTTCTCCCAGATCTGATCCTTGGGTCCCGGGCCAAGTCAACCTGTGTGGCTAGATAACTGGTTCTTGTCACCTGGTTAAAGGTGGCAGGCTCAGGGAGCCAGGAATCATTCTTTTAGGGGTAGCTTCCAAAGGCCTGTGTTGAGGTACCCCAGTTGGCACCCTGATCTGACATACTTAATGGGCGATCAAGTACTAAAGGGAAATAGCAAGTTCAGGCACCATTCTGGTTTCACCATCCTTGCAGCATGATTGAGAAAGCTAGTTTTGTTTGTGGATTTAAAACTACTTGCCTGTAATCTCCACTACTGGGAGGGAGGAGGATGCCAAGTTCAAGTCCAGCCTGGGCAACCTAGCGAGACCTTGTCTCAAAACACATACGTACAGAGGCTGGCGTTGAGGCTTAAGCGGTAATGCGCTTGCCTGGCATGCGCAGGGTGCTGGGTTCGATCCTCAGCACCACATAAAAAAATAAAAAATGAAGATGTTGTGTCCACTGAAAACTGAAAAATAAATATTAAAAAAAATAAAAAGTTAAAAAAAAAAAAACACATACGTACAATAATAAAAGGACTGAGGGGATGTAGCTCAGTGGCAGAGTGCTTGCCTAGCATGTGCAAGGCCCTGGGTTCAATCCCCAGTTCTACAGAACAAAACTAAACCAAACCTGTGGAGTTCTGTAAGGGGAGTCCCCACAGGTCCCCACCCTCTCCAGTGCTGTGGGTGTTTATCATGGAGATTGGTGAGGAAAAGTCCTTTCCTCCTGGGAGAAGGGAGCTCTTTCCAGCTCGTGTCTTCATGGTGAATCTTCGTCTGATTTTCTAGTCAGCGTGGGAATAGACAGCTAGTAGGCTATTCAATGACCCCACTGAGATGTTAAAGTTACCAAAATCCAGCCTGATCATAGCTTTATTATATTCATTTGAGTTTTCGGTGACTTTCTTTTAACTTTGATGTTGTCTTCATCTGGAGATGAAGTGTGGTTTAAGGAGATGTGTGTGGCTGGCAAGGGGTGGGCCTATGGGGAACAATTTGAGGTGTCAGCCGAATGGTTGAGGGATGCCCAGCTGGCTGATGAAGCAGTGTTTCTTGGGTGTATCTGTGAGCTTGATATTTCCTAAGGGAACTGAAGTATTTTAAACTTCAGTACTTAGTCTAAGGACAATGATGGTGATGGTGTTATTGAGTCCTTATTGCATGGTGGCCCCTTGATAACCTCTCCTGACCATACAATAATGGAGCCTATTATTGCCACCCAGTTGCATGGAATGGTTAAACACCCAGCCCATGGTAACTGGTAGAGGGCAGTCAGGTTCCAGATACAGGTTTTTCTTTTTCTTTTTTCCTGTTCCTTTTGTGGTGCTAGGAATGAAACACAGGACTTTGTGTGTGCTGTGTGAGTGCTCTACCGCTGAGCTAACCCCCAGCACACAGGGCTGCTCTTGCCACTAGGATTTATGGCCTCAGAGTTTTGTTTGTAGTTGTTTTTCAGGTTTCTTTTGGTACAGTCACAGCTATACCAACAGATCAATAATATGCTAATGAAGAATTAAAGTTACTGTTACCTTTCCCTTGAAATTGTAGAATTCAAAAATAATGGAGTTACTTCAAGTAGTACCAAGTTGTGTTGCCTCATTAGATGATGTTGCCGAAATAGACCACAAGGAGTATGTGACCGTTAAGATCAGGAAAAAATGTAAGTGCTTACTTTCTTTCTATAGTTCTCAACTTAGGTTTATTTGCAAATTCATGGGTAGTTGATGGTTTTCATTTAATTATAAATGTAAAATGTCATTATAGTTATGACTGGGAGGGATACACAGAAATGCATCTGTCAGGTTTTTTTTTTTTTTGAATACTAGTTTTCCGGTTGATTATGTTTCCTGGGGAAATCAGACAGACATTCCCAGCGTTACCTCATTACCTGAAGATTTAGGCCTCAACTTACCCCCTGGAGAGGAGTAACCTCTTGTAGATTGTTATTCCTCATATTCCAAAGCCACATGTTCTCTGGTGCATTTCCCAGACTTCCAGGGTGAATGCATCTTTTTGTCTTTTTTTTTTTTTTTCTTTTTCTCCAATGCTGGGGCTTAAGCCCCAGGACCGCTGTACCACTGAACTTCATCCCTGCCCCCAACTTTAAAAAAGTGCAGGTGTATGGAGGTTGATGGTAATTAGAATAGCAGTTACCAAATAGCTGTGGAAATATTTTCTCCTTTGTTAAAAGTTTAAAGGGGTCCTTGTTCTGTTATCTCTAAAAAGTCCATGTATTTGTAGTGCAATAATGTAAATAACTCCACTTACATATCTGGATAATTCTTTTTTTTTGGGGGGGGGTACTGGGGATTGAACTCAAGGGGGCACTTGACCACTGAGCCAAATCCCCAGCCCTATTTTGTATGTTTATTTAGAGTCAGGGTCTTACTGAATTGCTTAGCACCTCGCTTTTGCTGAGGCTGGCTTTGAACTTGCAATCCTCCTACCTCAACCTCCTGAGCTGCTGGGATTACAGGCATGCACCACCACGAACATATCTGGATAATTCTGAGGCTACCTCAGCATAATTGATTTTAGTGGGGGAGTATCAGTGTATGAAGGATTTATCCTTGTTTTACAAAGGTTCTCATAGTAATAAATAGGTATTTGCCACTATAGTTAAGCAAAGTCAATGCTTAATTTTCTAAATTTTGTTAAACTAAGAAATTAGAAAGTTTGAGTCTGTGTTGTAATTTTAATATAACTATTTTTTAAGTTTTCAGTTATTTATTATTTTATCTACAGGGAACTCAAAAATGTACGATCTACCAGATGAACCTTTTACAAGACAGTTTTACTTTGTTCACTCAGGTGGTCAGTTTAGGTGAGTATAAAAATCAAGTTGATTTCTGTACCTTGGCCCCCAAATGTATTTAGAACAGAAGCAACATATGAACAGCTTTAATTACCTGTGGATGAACTCTCAGTAATAATGTCATCCAATGCTGCCATCTTGTGGTCAGAGTGTTTCACACCACTATTCCAAATATTTATTTTATATTTTGGGTTTCAGGGGGAAGACTTCTAGGGAGATTATGGCAAGAGATAGAAGTGTCCCTAATTTTACCGAAGGTTCTTTGCATGAGGTGAGTTATTAAACACTGGCTTATAATCCTACTTTAAAAAAAATATTTAGTTTTTAGTTGGACACAATATCTTTATTTATTTTCATGTGGTGCTGAGGATCGAACCCAGGGCCTCACATGTGGTAGGTGAGCGCTCTACCGCTGAGCCACAACCCTAGCCCCAATATATTCCTACTTTTAAAAACCTGACTTTTTCAAAAGTGATCCACAGGAAACACATTTCTCCATGATAGTCATCTTCATTTAATGGTAGTCGTCACTGTAAGAGTTAACAGCAATTAAGACTGCAGTACTTTAGTGGGACAGTCAAGAATATGGACTTCATTGATATATTTTAAAATATATTTCTGAGCAGAGAAAGGAGAGTGGTGAAAGGTGGGAAGCAGTAGTAAGCCTGGGAAGCTGCGGTTTCAGTGTGTACAGTAGTTCTCTCCCATGCACCATTTAAAAAGTTTGTCATAAAATGAAGCCTGCTTTACAATCTGTGCTATTTTTTTCCTAAGGCATAGACAGTTGATTATTTAGGAAAATAGGTACACATTTAAGTAGGAAAGGGGGTTAATCCCAAGAGTGAGATGCCTGGTAAAGCAAGAATACACACTCAAGGGAGAATGCTTACTCTCTCCAGAGGGAAAGACAGCCCAATCTATGCTCAAAAAAAAAAAAAAAAAAAAAAAAAAAAATCAAGTTGATTTTTATACCTTGACCCCCAAATGTATTTATAACAGAAGCAACATATGAACAGCTTTAATTAACTGTGAACAAATTACCTATGATTCTTAGAAATATGACTTTTCTTATTGTTGAGAATTGATAGCATAGGCTTTTGGAGCAAACATGTAAGTTTTAAATCATTTCTTTAGAACATTAAAGTGATTTCTTTTTTAATTTTTTTTTTTAGTTGTAGATGGACACAATATCTTTATTTATTTATGTGGTGCTGAGGATCGAACGCAGTGTCTCACATGTGCTAGGCTAGTGCTCTACCACTGAGCCACAACCCCAGCCCAAGAACATTAAAGTGATTTCTATTAACATGACTAATTTTTATTTCACACTTAATCTTCTGTAGCTTTGCTAATAGATTTGCTCCTTAGTGGGAAACCCACTAACTGAAATCTGCCTGAGTTCGATCAAGTGCTAGCTTCTCCCTTGCGGTACTTAGTTAGATGGCTTAACTGCTAGTCCTGTTTCCTCAGCTGTGGAGTGGGACTGCAATATATATACTTAGAGTTACAAAGTGTGCAAACGTGTAAAGCACTTTCTCTGGGTGCTTTCTGTATTTACACTGCACAGGTAGTGAGCACGTGACACACTGTCATCACAGGGATGTTAGAATTGAAAATATGCTTGAGGAGTACTAAGCACATTGTCTGACAAAGTAGCCCACAGGGGTAGATGGATGTATATTTTGTCAGTTTTAGATGTGACTGAAACACTTAATTTGACCAATCAGATCAGATCATTATCCATCTACCTGACCAGGGCTGACTTAATGCTGTAGGTGCAGTGCGGTCATGTGGTTTATAATACAGTGCAGACATAAACTGAATTGTATATTTTCTTTAGCCTGAAAGGCAAGGAATCACACGGAAACAGAATAACTTGCCAGACCAGAGCAGATCTCAGACTGCTAATGAAGGAAAGAATGACTGGCCTGAGGAGAGGCCTAGACAGAAGCAAACTGCTCCTGGAAACAGGAGAATGCTCCGCAGGCACACTGTTGAAGACCCAGTTGTTCCCAAGGGCCCAGAGACTGTCGACAATCTATCCCTGCCCCAAGGGGCTGGTGTTTCCCAGTCTTAACAGTAATAAGTCATTGTTAAGTTTGCTGCCAAGAAGTAAGTATGCAATAAGATGATGCTGAGCATGAATACAGCTTAGGACTGAGTATACTTTCAAACAACTGGCTTGAAAGACTCTTCAGCAGAAAGTTCCTGAAAGCTTTTCTGTGGCTGAGGGAATAAGTGCAACAAAAAATTTACCACCATCTCTCTCCTCTTCAAAGCTAATGAATACACTTGAAAGAAAATGGACAAAAATTTCAGTAGGGTCCAGCTCCTTAATTGGGATGTATGTTTCTAAGGATTTCCTGGTTATAGGGAGAGGTTTCACCGTCAGATTCTGATATTCCATGGAAAGGTGCTAAACCTCTGTGATGTGTATAAATTAGCAAGCCATAAGCTAAAATATTCTCCCTACCCACACTACAGGATAATCTAAAGAGAAGCGATTTAGGTCACAGTAAGTTACTGTGGAGGCCATGCAGAAATGTCATATTGGAATGAAGAAATAGACCATGCAAAATGTTCCTTTGCAAAGCAACACTTGAACCAAAATATGCCTAAATGCCATTTTGATGTTCATTTTAGTAAAAAGGACATATCAGACCTGTTCTGCACTATATAGAAAAAGTTGGATATAATTTTTCTTCCAACAAAGTACAGATAATTGGTCACTGCACATATATACCTGTAGCAGTGTTTCTAGAAACATCCCTTTCCGTTAAAAACCTCCCTTAAATGTCACACCTGATGGATGGTTATTAGAGAGTAGATTTGGCACATCTTTTCTTAGTCTTTTGATTCATATTCAAAACTTACAGCACAAACCAGGTCAAAGTTATTTTAAGTTAGAATTTATTGATTTTTATAAATTTATATAGATTATACTGTTATTTTTTTATGTTATTGGTCTACAGCTTATAAACATGGGTTTGTCCTGAGTACATTTTCAAATAACTTTGTAATAGGGAAATGGTTTTGTGCATGTTCTTGGAAATTCTTGTGTGTATAGAAGGGAGGGGTTATTTTTCTACAAAGTAATTTATGATTTCTAATTTTCTAATGTGCCTTGGATATGTGCCAAATGATGGAAGAGAAACAGTAAACTTTATGATTCTTGAACGTGTCATGGTATTTTTTTTCCCAGTACTGGGGATTGAACCCAGGGCCTCATGCATGCTAGGCAAGTTCTGTACCAAGCCATATCCCCAGTCCCATGGTATGCTTTTTTAATGTTTTGTGATGGAGATTTGTTTCTCAGCCCCTAATAATAAACATATGCTTTGTGTGTGGAAAAATGGTCCCCCTTGGATGGATGTATATTTTGTCAGTTTTAGATGTGACTGAAACACTTAATTTGACCAAACAGATCAGATCATTATCCACCTACCTGACCAGGGCTGACTTAATGCTGTAGGTGCTATGCTGAGGGACCACAAAAATGTTTTCTTTTAAAATCAAAATAATAAATACAATACAGCTTTCTAGTACAAACACAAATGAACACTGTTGCTTTACCAATTTATTAATTTTTCTTCTCTTTCCTTTTTTAACCAAAAGAACATTATTAACTTAAATTGCTGTGGTCTTTTATCATACTAATTAAGAAACTATGTCATATAATTTATTGGCATAGGCACTCTCAATATGCATACATGTACATGTGCTAGTAACTAATTTTATGGATGGTGCAGTATAATTTTGAAAATGCTTTGATGTATAACCATTTTTTAAGAAATATTAAGTGAATTTACTCAAATGAAGGAAGTTTAATGATACAGAAATAATAATATTTAAAATAAAAATATTAAAAAACATTAAAATAAAAATAAATCTGCATACAATAAAAAGTGAATATAAATTAGCCAACTCTATGGACATTTCTAGTTTAACATTCATACAAACATATACTCACCTTTTTCTTTATAGAGATAACACATATGTACATGATGTGAAATTCTGACAAAAAAATCAGAACTTCTAACAACATTTTCAAGTTTTAAAAATAGTATGGAAAATGTTTCAACCACATTCTACATGAATGTAAACCTCTGATTTAATTTCATGATTTTATCATGCCAGAATGAATCATGGTTGGTTTTAAGTTTTTTTTTGGCACTGGGATTGAATCCAGGGGTACTTAGTCACTGAGCTATATCTCCAGCCCTTTTTATTATTTGTTTTGAGACATGGCCTCCCCTAAGTTGCTGAGGCTGGCCTTAAATTTGTGATCATCCTGCCTCAGCTTCCCAAGTGGCTGGAATTGCAGGCATGTACCACCATGCCTGGCAGGTTTTTAATGTTTTTAAAAACAGATATTGGTATCATAACACATTGGCTTATTAATAATTAAGGCATTTGTTTACACAGTATCTCAGTATGGACAAAAATTTTTAACGTTATTTACTATGACATTTTAAACTTTGAAAGTCTATTCAACATTAATAGCTGCACACATGTTTTTATAAAACAATAAAAAATTAATGATAATTAGTCTTTATAGTTCCTAGTCCTGTCTTATTTTTTCACATAGTATAAATTATATTCTCATGGAGGACTGCATTAGGACCAGTAGTTCTTAAATGTTACCAGATAACCACATAAAGCCCAAATGCAGCAAAGGCAAACGGTCTTTGTGGTGCACTTTCATCTCATTGAAGTTGAAGCTGTTCGTTTTGGATATTTTTCCACTTCAATGTGAAGTAGATTGTTTCAGGGTTTTCATTAGTGGTTTCATTATGTGGCTTTTTAAAAGAAAAAAATGGTTTTAATTTCTTCCACACTTCACAGTTCTCAGATCAATTTTTGGAAATCATATAGTTCAAGATGTTTTGAGTAACTAAATGCTCTTTAGTAGACAAAATCTCTCAATTCAACTATAATAAATAAGCATCTACATCCTTAGCTATAATACCACTGTATCCTGGAACCAAAGTAAGATGTTTTTCTTGTTCTTACAGGCCACTTAGTTGTTTTAAAATCCTGAATATTTCCATCATTTATAATTTTTTGAGTGATAGTTCTGACCACTTTTTTATTACAGCTTGAAGCCAGTTTAAACCAACTATCACATATTCTTCAAATTTGCTTTTAAGTAGTGACTTTACAAGAGGCAACAAGTCTACACAGCAGCCAAGTGAGATCTATTGTTTTTCTTTCTGTAAACCATTAATACAGGCAGGCAATCTACCTCAACTCCAAGATCTTCTATCCTCCCCAAATAAGTTACAAGTTCACTTACACTTCTCCAGAAAGTTAAAGCTACACTCAATCTCAAATTCCTGCTGAACCAAACTTAGGCCATTGTTTCATGATCCTGAGAAACCACAGGAAAAAACCCCACCGTATTTAGATGATGGATTTTCTGTGAAGAACCAGAATCACTGTGGAGTTAACCAAATATCTTCAACTATCCATGGCTATAATTTTTCATGCAGGTGGGCTGCACAAGCCAGTTCATTTTATTTGCCATATCACAGCCCTCACTTATAGGGGACTATTTTTTTCTGTAATAAGGATTTGGATAAAGATGTTGGACTTTTTTTTTTTTTTTTTTTTTGGTGATGGATCATTTAATTCTGTCTCACTGAATAGAATTGGCAAGCCAGGAAACAGGTTCAGAGAAACAAGGGACTGATTTGCTTGAGATCTGAGGGTCAAGGTCAAATTGGCAGTGGCACCTGAATTGGCTGTTTCAAGCTTGGTGTGCTCTTCATCTGGAGAAAAAGTCCTGAATGAAACCGTCTGTCTTTGGGGAGTTTCCTTTTGAGCTATTGCAATAAAGTAATTAATAGTAGGAGCCATCTCAATTGACTAGCTCATTACACTTCTGTGTTTCCTAGCTTGAAAGAAAAAATAATTTTACAGTTCACAAATAAGTAATGCCTGAATTTCTATTTCTGTGTAAGTTTTGAGTAAAAAGGATTGCCAGCTCACTGACTTACTTAAATGTTTAGAATAACCACTCCTCACTTCTTAGCAGTATTCTCCATCCTTTGTGCCTTCAATAACTTCTATCCTTGTATACACAATCGCTTTCCATTCTCAAGTGTCTTTGAAAGGAACATCTGACAATCTTTAAACACATTCACATCGAAGTTAGAATTAGGACACGGGTTATTCTGAACAAGAAAATGTAACAAAACTTGCTAAGAATTATATAATGTGCTGTTAGCATTTTTTTTCTTATTTTTTTAGTTGTAGACGGACACAATGCCTTTATTTATGTGATGAAGACTGAACCCAGTGCCTCACATGTGCGAGGCAAGCACTCTATCATGAGCTACAACTCCAGCCCCTGCTTTTTACATGTTTATGTCAATGAGGTCTAAAGCAAAATCTATAAATGGGTTCTCCCAAAATCCCACAAGATTTTGACTACAATTCTATTCCTTAAAAAAAAAATAAAAAAATTAATTTTCTTAATGGTTATAACTCATTTATTCAGAAATTAGACACTTATTCCAACACTTTTCTTTTGTGGTGCTGGGGCTCAAACTCAGGACCTCCAGGATGCCCTCTACCACCGAGCCACACCACCAACCCCTATGATGACTTTGTTTATTATGGTTACAAATTTCAAATATTGTAAAATCTCAAATATAGTTTAAACATGAGCAGTATGCTGTGTTTAAAGCCAACTTGGACTGTAAACCACATTTCCCACTGCTACCAATCCTATTCATCTCATTAAGTGTTGTGAATTCACTCCTGGGCTTAGTTTCGTAGAACTAAGGCGTTTAAAAGATTACATCAAAGAGCTTAGTTATTAAAGTTTATGATCTAAATGTATGAGAGAAGGTTTTTTTTAAAATATTTTTATTTGTTATGAATGGACCTTTATCTATTTTTTTAATATGTGGTGCTAAGAATCGAACCCAGTGCCTCACACATGCTAGGCAAGCGCTCTACCACTGAGCCACAACCCCAGCCCAAGAGGATTTTCATAACCTAGTGCAAGTAAAGCTCAGTATGAGATGACATCTGCCTTAAAATCATCTGCAGCTTTATTAGTAAAAAACTCAAAAACATTTCTACCAAAATGTAACTGCTCAACTCAAACTAGATTTTAATCATTAAAGTCATTTATCTTGGAGCTGGGTCGTAGCTCAGTGGTACAGTGCTTGCCTAACATGTGTGAAGCATAGGGTTCAATTCTCAGAACACTGCATATAAATAAATAAATAAAGACCCATTGACAACTTTAAAAAAATTTTTTTTTACAGTCATTTGTCTTACAAACATTTTTACTGTTGAAGTATTATTACCAGTTTGTCCCAGTTATTGTGGCTGATTGTATCAATGGAAGTATCACTCCAGCTGTTTTGGATGGGAGTGATAAATGTTACATAATTTAATCTCAAGGCCTTTGATAAGCATATTACAAAAGAAATCAAAGCCAGGGATTTTCTTGCATTAAATGGAAGTACTACCTGCAGAAATATTAGTCATACTCAGTCACTGTCCATGGGTTTTATTTCCCAGTGTTTCTGGCTGCTGTGGTTGGTGTTTTCTTCCTATTGAAGCACGCTGGAACAACTTGTATTTCTCCTACATTCATGCTGCTAAGTACTCAAATGCTTTTGGTAGGAAGGGAAATACATTCAAAATGCAGATCTTCTGGTCACTTGGCAGATACTGAAATAACTTACCACAACTTGCTTTATTTTGAATAACAAGTTTATTTTTTAAAGGCATATAGACAATAAACAAAGTAAACAATTAATCAGAGTACTAGAATTGTTTTATTAAGGTCCAGTCTCTAAACATTTTAGCTCAATAATCATCATCTTCATCAGAGTCCATTACTTTTCTTCTGTTGAACTAGGGGGAAAATTAAATGAATGTCATAACATATTTAATAAAGCATAACTCAGACTTTCTGAGAAGAAAAATTTCTACCCACTCAGGACTGTGTGTGTGTCTATTTTTTTTTTTTTTTTGTGGTGTTGGGGACAGAACCCAGGGTCTCATGCATGACAGGCAAATGAGTCACATCCCCAGTCCTATGTCTTTAAAACAACTTCATGAGCAAAGAGGGCAGCAGTTGGGGGACAGGAACCTTAAACATTAAAACCTCAATAAATAAAGTTTCTTCCAGAACTTCCATGTGGGAAGCCATC